AAACGAGGTTCGGTACTCAGCAAGATACAAGCCTGCTGCCTAACAGGCGCGGCGGGTGCTTTAGTTTCTTGTCTGGGCGACCAAGTTTCTGAGCAAGGAGCCCAAATGGGCGAATAAAAATCTTTCTGAACACGGGTAAATTTAATAGAACAAAGCAGTGAATTTTTAAGCTCCAATGACCAACGAAATTCGTCGGATAGTCGCCCTTGTTGCACCAGCTACTGTCCCAGTTTGGTAAAATAATGGCCAATTCACGGATCAAGCGAAACCCCTTCCAGACCCTGAAGAAAAACTGCCCGATTCACGTTCACCTAGCCTGCGTCGTGTAAAACGTTTTTCGAGTATTTATATGATACAGTAACTAGAAATAAAGATGGTGTCATCGGATGAGGTAAAAACTGATAAACGAATAAGCACCCCCTTCCAATAAGCGCCCTAGTTCAAATAAGCACTCCCCCCCCCCTCTCGGCGTAGAAAATTAAATAAGCGCCCAATGCGCTAATTCGAGCATTTCCAGCATTTCCACTTGCTAAATACATGTAATTCCAAACATTTAGGTACTCACGACGCATAATGTGGCTGGAAGTGACCTCCACCAATAATGATCCTTCCATTGTTGGCCAGTACTATTTAGATTGTGTTCGTCAGATAGAAGGTTTGTATAATAACGCTTCAGCATAGTTTAAATTAAATAAGCACTACTTCAATAGGAACAGTAAAAGCTATTTAGTGTTGTTATTCAACGTATTAGAGAGCCATTTTTAAATTTACTTAAGGTTCTCGTAATTTCGTTAATGTTTCATTTTTTGTCATCGTAAATACCAATCTTTATTATTGTATTAAAATTGCACTGTTTTTCAGTTCTTAACTGCAAGAAGTGTTAATATAATTTTGTTATTATTTACAATTATTATTGTTATTATTATAATTATTATTGTTATTATTTTTGTTATTATTATTAGTTACAAACGTTGATTAAATTTGGATTACTTTTCTGCTTTTTTTCAACAAGGTGCTCCTCGAATTGTCAGGGCTGACTGTGGTACAGAAAATGTAGTTACAGCTGGCCTTCAAAGGTATTTTCGCTCTAATGCTGATGACGTCTTTGCAGCAGAAAACAGCTTTATGTATGGCACATCCCCTGCTAACCAGGTAAATCGCTAAGAAATTAATGAGCTTATAAGGAACACTTTTGCAATGTAAATGAAAACCACCAAATGCATAATGCGAGTCCCTAGATACATTCAAAGCAAGAGAAAATAGACACCTTGTAGCTACCCTCGACGTATATTCAGTTTTACTCGGTTGGTGTTTAATTTTATCTAGAGAATTGAGGCTTGGTGGTCCGTTTTAAGAAAATCGAATGCCGACTGGTGGATAAAATATTTTAAGGTAATTAAGATATGCGTACAACGTTAGCTTACCGGTGTATAATAATTTAACAATAATATAATTATATTTATAATGCGCGAATTTCAGGGCGAATTTCATTCAATTATTTTAAGAAAAGTTATAATTAAAATTAAAAGTTAACTTACAATAATGAAAAACAACGGTAACAAAAATGCATGACGAGGTAAAGGTGAATTTAAAATACTGACTGTGTGCTTCTTATTTCAAATGGTAGCGCATTCCCAAAAAGAAAATGCACCTACTGTAGCTCTGGATTAAAAACGCGGGCATGCAATTTATTACATGAATTTTTAGCGGCACGTTTATTAAGTTATTTTGAAGAATCGTTTTTTAGTGACACTTTTATGTAGCGAGTTTTCGTAAATTAAGTGTCGCAAAGATTTCATGTAATAAGGCAAGTAAAACTTTATCACTGAAATATCCTATCTTGGACCCTTAGATTACATTTGGATCGGGGCGTAAGAGAAATAAGAGACGATTAGTAAGAAGGGGTAGCCAGTGCAACTCATGATCATATTAAAGAGGCGTTACATGGCAAACATTTTTGTTTTTTGTAGTCACGTTTTTAAAGATCATAAGACATTGGTCTATGCTCATCTGTTTCTAATAACCATAATCCTTTAAATCTGAGTTTTATAAAACAGATCAAATGGGATGAAATTAAAGCACTTTCAGACTTTTCAGCAGAGCTTGTGAAAAACAATCATTTATTAAACCTGAATCTGAGCGTTTATATTAAAACTTTTTATTTAATTTCATTGTAATGTTTTGTTTTGCGGCAGGATCTAAGAGACACTGGAGTTTATGATGACAGTGATCCCCTACAAATGTAAAAGTGTTTTTTATTTATTTAACATATATATATATATATATTTACCAGACTAGAAAAAGAGGAACAGGCAATGCTGGGAATAAGGCAGATAGCCTTCTTCATATACTAATTCTCAGCCTTATTCAGCTGGTGTTGCTGGTTGGTTTAATTTAGGGTACGCCTGATTTAGCTTACTTGCTCCTTGATTAAACAAAATGGAAAAAAAAAATCTTCTCTTGTAGGTGATTCCTTTTGTTCGGGTCTGACCGGGCTATACAAATTATGATTTTCATGATGATGATGGTCATTATATCAGTAACAGCTATTTTAATTATGATTGTTATTGCTGTTTAAATATTTTACCATAATTATCCAAATAGCTGTACGTTTTTCTTGACATAATCATCCATAATTTTGTATTGTTATAACAACCAAGAGTCGTCGACTAATAAGTTCTTATTTCTTAAAAGGCAGCTTTGTCTATTTTGAACTTTAAATTATGTTTTTCTAATTATTGCGTTCCAGAGCATGTCTGCAGTTTTGTTTTACTGGCTTGTTACAAGAGGAGTTGCACCGAGTTGCAAGACACTGGAACACACACAGGATAAGACCATATCCTAACCAAGAGAGCCATCCTGGAAAACCTGACGTTTTGTTCTTTATCCCAGAACTTAAAGGCAAGTAACTCGTCTTTAAACTTAAATAGTTTCACACTTATATGACCGCGTTACATGTTTCTGTCGCACCTGAATGAAAGCGGTTACCGATTGCATCTGAGAGCTGCGTGTTCTTAAATTATTAGATGATGATGATGATGATGATGACGATGATGATGATGATGATGTTTTTCAGGCACCACTGATTTCAAGACTCCTGTAGATTTGGATGACCTGGAAGTAGCAGAAAGAAACTTCTGTAAAAAGCGAGATGTCTTTGGATGCCGGAGCGAGTTTTTCCGATGTTTTGCAAATGCTCATGTCCGACCATTCTTTGACAATGCCAAGAGATGCAGAAGAAGGAAAGATCTTGTTTACCACACTATATTATCTTTTGCAAGCAATCGTTTAGCCTTTGCTTTTTGTTAAAACAACACAAGCGAAACAGTGTGAAACATGTACAGAAATAGATCAGTGAATGAAACCATAAAAAATCGTCTCATTCGTTTGCCTAGAGAAAAAAAGCACAGTCTATTTAAAAACTGATGTCGGTAAACCCCAGAAGTTGATATTTCGTTTGGCGTGCAGATCGTGCAGATCCATTGTTTTTTTTTCCCAGAGTCTCCCCGGCGACCATCCGCTGACACCGAGCCGAAGAGACTCTGGACTTGGGATTGACTGAGGGCTTTCTATTCAACCTCGTTCCCAGTTTTTCCCTTTTTCAAAGGAGAGAAAAGCCCTGGGAAGGAGGTTGCTTTCTATTCAATGTACAATTGATTCGCTGTGCCTTAACAGAACAAAATTCCTAGGGAGGGGTGCATTTACTCCACCCGTCCCCCCCTGGGGATATAAGTTAGCATGCACATAACACCGTCGTTGAGGGCGCACTCTTGTCAGGCCATGCGTCGCGTGCGATGAAGAAAGGCAAAACTAAAACTCTTTTGCGGGTTGTTTATCTAGCTTTCTTTTTTTATCCCTTTTTTTCGCCCTATGTTGTTAAACCTTTTTCGAAGATATTTTGAAATTTTCGTTATTCTTCCAAGTTTGTTTAACGTGATAAAAGTTACGCAACTTGTTTTCGCTTTTTTGAGAGTTGCTCGCGCCCGTTTTTAATCCGAGAGCAATATTTACGTCGTTACGCGCGCTACTGGGTCTCTAAAAAACTTTAGTAATTATTAACAACCTTAAGTCCAGAATAGGATATACAAATAAGAGACGTTTGGTCTAGAATAGGGCTACAAAATGAAGCTTATTGGGTCTGGTATGGGTAAAGGGTATCAAAGTCCCAGCGGCACACCCCTAGCCAAAAATATTCTGGGCCTACCCCCGGGAGGAGGGAGAGTGGGCCATAAATAAAACAAACCCAAATGCACACCTGACGTCCACTGTGTTGGAAGTTTCTCGTACGGAAAATATTAATACCGTAAGTGGCATTAATATCTACATTTTGCCGACAATTATCCATTACCGAACCAAGAAAAGGCAACTCAGGGAAAGGTAACACAACATTTTATTTAAGGTCTTAACAATGCGTTCTAGGAAATGTTAACGAAGAATTTCCATACAATCAGTGAAGAATAAGCAGTAATCTCTGCTCTGAAGTTAACGGAAGCAGTGTCAAAGGAGAATAACGAATAGATAGCTTGATTATGCAGAAAGTGATTCACGTGAACGAAATCATCTGACAACCTCAATGTTTTATGTACCATACCTCATTGCCAACGGGGCAATGAGTCGTGAAGTTGGTGTGCGTAGACACACCAAAAAGTAAGAAATCCTTCACAAATGATTATTTAGCTAGCAAAATTCACACATTGAACATTATCATGCAGAATTAATTGGTGAACAACTGATCTAAATATCTAAAACACAACAAAGTTCATCTCACAGAGTCACAGTTGCAAACATCCGCTGAAAAACTAACCAAACAAAACAACACCACAAAACACCCAGCAGTTTTTCTCACTTCTTGCAAATGTATGTATTCAAAAACGGAACTATTTGCAATCCGAAATGTTCATCTCCCACTGTTAGTCACATTAATTTATATTCTGTGCCACTGTTAAATGCACCTTTGACAAACGGTGACTGGTACTTTCCCTGCCGACTTTGCGTCTCTTTCAGTCTTCAAGATCCCAAAGCGATGGATTCTTAATAAAGAAATCCAGATTTTCTCTCAGTCGGTGGTACGTTTGGTAGTTTCGCGGTAGAGTAAGTACCTGAAAACATGTACGGGCCGTCGGTCTTGTTGCCAGGACAGCCATGTCTTCAAAGCGAACCTTGATTTTTCTTCCTGGCAACACCATGTCGTTCCCTGTAGAAAATCGTAGAAATAGGGCCAACGTGATGGAGTCCGCTTCTTTCAGATACCGTCGTAACCATCTTTCAACCTTTGCTTCTTTCGGACTTAGTGGCACGATGTGGAGAATTTTGACGACCCGAGTGGGCGAAGGGGTGCAGAGCTCGTAGATAGAATCTATTTCCTCTTCGGTTACGGTGTCCCAGAAATTACCCATTCCTTCTCTGATTTTCAAGAGCGGCAAAAACAGTTTGGTGACAAACTCGGAAGTTCCAATCTTGACAAGGGTTTCCTGTAAGTTGGATGCTGTTGGCGGGGTTCTTTGATGGTATTCGTCAAAAATATCCATTACTTCATCTTGAACAGACGATAACGCTATCTTGCCCTCGAGAACATCAGACAGCAGTTTCATTTCTACAGGCGGCAGTAGGCGAAGGAATGATTCTAGGATGATCTCATCGGACACCTCTTTAAAAAGCGCCTGATACATTGACGCCTTTACTAATTTTACGGGGAATGTTCCACACTGAATAAACATGTGAGTTATGAGGCGTCCGAGTGCGACGAAGTCTTCCTCCAAAAGATTAGGCGAAACGCAAAGGGTGTACTGATTACTGCCCTCGCAATATTGTGAGAAGAACGATTCCCAAAAAAGGGAATAGAGTTCTCGTAGAAGCCCATCACCATTTGCCTGTTCACCTTCGAAGGAGACCACTAACTTTTTGCTTGAAATTGCTTCGTCTTCACGGTACATCTCGAGGAGCTGTTTAACAACATTGTTTTTATCCACAGTTATGTGGTACCTTTGTAACTCTTCTTCCCCTCTTCGGGCTTGTAAGGTGTGGAAATGTGCTTCGACTTCCACGCTTTCGTCTCCCTCCATGAATACCTCTGGCAAATCAGGTTCAACCCGCGCCACTTGGTAAGTCTGGTCGTTTACTTCGGCCAAACTATGTTCATCTCCTTGGTCAGCTTTGTCAGACTCCTGGAATTGGTCTCCAGTATTATTTAAATTTCCATGAGTAACATTGGTATCTTCGGTTTCGTCTGTTAAGGTGTCCCCAGCGTTTCATCACCCAGATGGTATCCGTGGAACGCAACTTCGCCGTCATCTTCGATTAAGGGTAACGGATCGTCTTCCACAGTCATGGTAAGAAGGTGCGAATGGCTGATCTGCACACCTTCAGCAGGAGATATTGGCACTTTAGGCTCCTTTGAGAGGGAGAAGTACTTAGGAGTGCAGCTCAGTGACCCTATCCAGTCGTACACATTCCACATCGCTGCATCAACTGGGAAGCGTCTGGTAACTATACCAAGGCTGGTGTGTCTGACTCTAACAAGTAGAAAACTTCCGTCTTCTTCCGCCTCTGGTAAGACTCGCTTTGAACGTGATCGCCGCAACCTTTCTAACTGGGCTCCTTCTTCTTGTGCTCTAACGATCTCTTTGTTAATTGCATCTTTCGCTTGGTCTTGCTTAAGTGAAGCGGCTACTTCCAGAGCAAGCTTATTACGATACTCTTCTCTCTCTTTCGATGTGCCAATGAGCTGCGACGAGCCATTTCCACCCTCAGAAGCATCACGCGAAGGTATCATAGCGCGAAGCAAATCTTTTCATCGCCAGAGTCGTATGGCAGCTTTTCTTTGGACAACAGGTACAATCGAGGCTTGGTAAAGCCGGTCGCTGCCTTGTATCGCTCGGCAGTAAAAGGGAGCAACTCGCCATCGACCCTAACGTCAGTAACACCACAACCATTAAAATCACCAAGGGACAAATCCATTTCATCCTGCGATCCTTCGGGACTGACACCCAGTGGAAAGAATAATTCTTTTGCTATTCCCAAGCACTCGTCGGCACTTGCAACCTTAGGTATGTCTACAACCCTGGTTCCGCCTCCGCTTCCCTTTTTCTTTTGTCTAAATGTTTCAGTTCTTGTACACCAGTGCTTCCAACCAAATTCGAATTTAACAGCTGTTTTGGCCATTTTCTTTTCCTTTTTCTCGAACGATTCGCGCCCGTGACTCCTTTTGGAGGCCCTTTGATGGCCAAGCATGCTTTTCAGCTTGTCAACGGCGTCTTGTCGCTTCTTCTGTTCGACTGTTGTTTTCGACTTTCTTTCACAAAATGCTCGAATACGTAGTCGGTCGCCCATTGCCTTGACACCTAATTCTTCTAGCTGCTTATCTGACATCATTAAGACTGATGATTTATCAATCTGAAGTACAGAAAAAATATAATAAGACAGGTTTTATTATTTTTATTTTAAAAGCTGTATTGGGTATTTCAAATAAAATAGCTATCCGAAAAGGGCCTGTGCTAACGGGACACCTTACCCGTGCGAGGTACCGCCCGTGAGAAAGAGAAAGAAAAAAGCAAAACTCTAAAACATGGAGGATATGTTATAAAACCGCTAGTAAGTTACCTTGAGGTTTTTTGGCACTTTTCATACAATTAAAAGGTACCTTTTTCGCGTTTTTGTTTATAACCTATCCTACCTCGAAAAAGGTACATGTACCTTTTTATTGTTATAGGAACACTGCTGGCAAGATATACACTGCAAAGATGGATATTTTCATCGTAGCAGTATTTTCACGCGGACACAGCGAGCGAGCCTCGCAAATAAAGGTGAATATAAATAAACCGCTTTCAGTTAGTAAATGTGTTGTGAGTGATTTACTATGTTCACATCGCACATAGTGCTTTATAGGTAAACTTCCTAAAATCAAAGTAAATCAAAAATACCGTCATAATGCCGGTGAATTATTTTGTTACTGGTTGTGGACCATATTCCAGTGATTTTGAGTTGATGTTGTCCAAACATAACAACTAGGGGGTCCAGGGCATGCTCCCCGGAGAAAATTTGATTTCCAGCACCTCAGAAACACTATTTTTAAAGTATTCTGGAAAACATTTGCTGTCTTCACTTCGCTGTACAATTCTTAAACATTTTACCTTGAGATCAACAGTTTCCTTCTGCAAGAATGATTTTTTTCCGTCAGTTTCGGTTTGCATGAATTTTTTTTTTTCGGGCATTTTGGCTTGCATGATTTTTTTTTTTATTTTCCCCATCCCCCACCCATCAATTTTCTAATGGTCCGTCCTTAGGGAAAGATCATTTAATATGACAAGGGGGGATGAAGATATTGAGGGGGGCTCTCGAAAATTTTTAGACACCCGAAGGGGGCTCTGAAAAAATTGTTGTGCTAGGAGGGGGCTCCGAAAATTTGTATACTTCAAAACCAACACATGACATCATCAGACAGATCGGATGGTTTTCAACTCAACAATTTAATGACCTGTGCAACTCAGCTATATCACGTGGTTTACAGATATAACAAAATAATGTAGTCTCAGTAATTATTACACTCTTGTTCATCCCAAAAATGCTTTAGAAAATTGTATCATAACTGTATCTCAAGTTTGTGATAGTATAAACCATTGAAGACAATAACGTAAATATATTTAATCGGTCAGTGTAAAACGTAGACTGCGGACTGCGGACCAGGGGTAAAATGCAGACTGAGTGTAAAATGGAGACTGCAGACTGAGAGTAAAACGCAAACTGGGATAAAATGCAGAATAAAGACTGTAGACTTTTTTTAAACATTTGTGCTCCTTCTTCTCCAAATCTGTGAAATAGCTAGCCGGTATCAGTTAAACACTTCACTTCCCAGTCGAAGTGCATTGCACATTCCCTAGAAGTTTCTATGAACATCCGAACAGCTTAAGTCTGTGTACCTTGATTTGCAATACTTTCATAAAAAGGTCATCAAAATTTCTTGCAGAACATCTTTCTTTGTTGTTGGAATGATTTACTCCCTTTTTTATCGCCATAATTCTTCCTGTACAGTATTTTGGTTCAGCAGCTTTCATTTAAGCGTAAACATCGTGGTGTTGTACTAATTCACGGTCCCTGGTCACTTGTATCGAAAACTTCGCGTCTAAAGTTGAAGCGTAAGGTCTCTCGGACGAAAAAAAAAAGCTTCAAGATTGCGATTATGTTTTTGGGTCGTCGACGACGTTCTAGAGAAGAAAGTCCTGAATGGATTTGTGCAAGCAGATGTCGTCAAGTAAGTGTTCCTTTAATACATGTATTTGCGGGATTTTTTGCCCTTAAACCCTTCTACGACTACAGTTTATGCTCGGTCTGCATTTTACCCCAGGTCCGCAGTCTGCAGTCCGCAGTCTGCGTTTTACACTGACTGTATATTTAATACAGTCTAGCTATCTTTTTCAGGGGAGCAAAGGAATTGAAGGAGGAATTGGGGGCTCTGAAATTTTTTTTGACTACCAAGGAGGGGCTCCTAAAAAATTGAACTGCTAGCGAGGGGGGCTGCTAAAATTTCAAGCTTCGAGTTTCAATATCTTCATCCCCCCTGTCATATTAAATGAACTTTCCTTTATAGTCAACTATTACGCTGTTATATTTTAGTCAAATGAATATTTAGTTGCTAACCGAACCACCTACTCGTCTTTACTTTGTGAAAGATTTTGCCCTTTATGTGATCAGTCGGCAAGTCCCGCTCTGACCACTAGCTGGAGTTGCTTCACGGTACTCCCGAGTTCAACTCCTCGGCCACGCTTGTAAAAAAGCCAGCTGGTTTGCCTCCTGCCAGTTGGGGTTTTTAACCTTGTTATGTTTAATTTACGACTATTTGTTTCTAATATTTGCTCGGCCCCACTAGCCTTTGTGCTATAAACACTGCCGAGGGTAAATAAAGGATATTTATTTATTTATTTACAAACATGTAATCGCAATGTGCCCACGGGCAATTACAGATTAATTTCACTTGTATTTTCAAAGTTTTCCAGATCGCACTCGTTACTTATTAAAACTTTGAAAATAGCGTGAAGTTAATACTTAATCCCATGCGATAACATATACCAATGCTCAATTTTTCTGCTCAGCCGCTGCACTTTCAAGTTACGAAAAGCAGAATTGCCAGAACGTTTCACTGATGTTTTACGCCATTAAACATACGAAAAGCAGAATTGCCAGAACGTTTCACTGATGTTTTACGCCATTAAACATACCTTTTCAAGAAGAAACCGATCGGTAACTGTGCTGTCTTGTCCACTATCCTTCATGAACTGAATAAGCTAAAAAGAGGTAAACATGTGCGCACACTCAGATTACGATGGAAGAAGCTTCACCGGCGTTTAGCCGGAAAAATTTATCGCTCTTTTATTCTTCTGATTTTGTAGCAATTTGTCCGTTCATTTATTTCAGAAAAAAAAAAAACATTACAAATCAGAATAGTATGCCATACATTACCTCTGACACCTCTTCGTCCGCGGCCATGCTTTTTGCTGCGAGATGACGTGTGAGATGGCGTGACAATTACGCAATACTCTATCTCGCATTTTTTTTTTATCTCGCATTTTTTATCTCGCATTTTTTTATCTCGCATTTTTATCTCGCATTTTTTTTATCTCGCATTTTTATCTCGCATTTTTATCTCGCATTTTTTTTTTATCTCGCATTTTTATCTCGCATTTTTATCTCGCATTTTTTTATCTCGCATTTTTATCTCGCATTTTTATCTCGTATTTTTTTATCTCGTATTTTTATCTCGCATTTTTTATCTCGCATTTTTTTTATCTCGCATTTTTATCTCGCATTTTTTTATCTCGCATTTTTATCTCGCATTTTTTTTATCTCGCATTTTTATCTCGCATTTTTTTATCTCGCATTTTTATCTCGCATTTTTATCTCGCATCTCGCATTTTTATCTCGCATCTCGAATGTCCCTTACAGGCTTCCGTACAAAAGCCATGGACTCACAAGAAAAATGAATTTTTGGAAACGTCAAAAAAATGGAAAGTTTCCAAAGGAGTTTAAAAATTGAAATTTTTATTCTGTTTGATTTTTTTTTAGCAAAATAAGCCAGAAAAGATTGTTTGTTCATATTCTTTATGAACAAACAAGAATGAAAAAGTGCCTTTTAGACGAGACAAATCATTGAGATTTAATTGAGGGAATTAAAATTAATTTTTCCTAAAGGACCAGTCCTTAAGTTATTTGTTATATAGCTGGAAATTTTAAAACTGGAAATTTATTTAACCTGGCTGTAACGGCTATCGTCGTTCAACATTTGCAGGTACGTTCTGTCGCACTTTGTAATAAAATTTTCGTACTTTGTAATACCTGTCGCACTCTGTAATAACACTTGTCGCACTTTACAATGATCTTGAAATGGATGGTCGGAAGACAAGTAAACTATATTACAAAGTGAGATTTTGGCGGGAAACAGTTTCATTGTTAGATGTCACTTGACCTCGAAGAAACCAATGGGAGTGCGCGCTGTTGGGAAGAAATTTTAAGCTATTTTTTTTATTTCTTTATTTTCTTCCAGCTATATAAGACAAATAACATCACTGCTTAGTCGTCAGAACTAGCCAAGTACTTTGCCAAAGACTACTTTACCCTCTCTCAGCTTCTATCAGTGTATATCTGGTGATTCTTACACAGAGTCATAGTGTCCTCGCTCTTCAAGGCTTCAAGCAATCGGGGAATAATTGTAATTATTTAACACAACTTTATAACTATTGTCTGAAGCGTCTCTGAACTAACCAAATATTATGCCAAAGATTTGTCTTCTTTCTCTCTGCTCCAGATTAATATCTGATGACTCCTCTATAGACTCATATTCTCCTAGCTGAACGAACCTTTCACTGGGTTTGCATTTTCCCTTCAAAAGCCTTACGAGTTTACACGCAAACAATACCAACGTGAGTATCATGGTGGAAATCAGGAGCAGATAGGAAACGACGTTTTTCATTCCAGTGATATCGCTGGTGTCTTCTGCATTTAATAACGGCATCACTGCCATGACAGCTAGGATTGTAAGGTACACCGACTCTAACGCGTTGACTCTTTTCTTCTTGTATGGTTGCAACGTATTGTGGATGGCAAGGATCACCGAGCATATCAGAAACAGGATGACCTGAAAAAATCGTAGAAAGTTGTAGGAAATAAATGTTTTCAACGTTGCATTATTAGATTCGGCTCATGTGAAATGCGACGTTTGAACTGGGCCTCAACGTTATGTGTTTCCCAGCGCCTTTGCACTACCAACTTGCAATTGGCTTAGAGTGTTGGTACCAATTAGAAGGGTTTTTCCGCCTTTTATATTCTACTTGCGTGGTCTTGTGGGCCGGCTCAGATTGCGTGTTTTCTCTCTTTTGACATTATCTGTGTACGTTTCAGTGCAAGAACTTCTTAAGTGCTATAGCATCGGAGTTATGTGCTTTTACGCGCCTTAACCGTTCGCCTGCTTTGCCTTACTAGTAACTCGATCGATTGGTGCTCGTACATGCTCATCTGCGAGTGATGACACTTGCTTACCACTGCGTAAAATCAAAGACCACTCGTAGTTTATTTAGTATCTAAAAAAGCTCCGCTTTTAGGCTTGGTTAAAGTCATAGTATGACTTACCTGTTTGGTGTACCAATTCTTGATGAAAACATAAAACACCATGAGCAACACTCTTCGGAACAGGTCCCATGACCACCACCATAAGCAACGCGGGCTCAGACCATCTGTCAGAGTATCGAAATACTGTGGATCAACTCTCCAGTATCTCTTGGTCACCAAAACAACAGAGATGAGTAGAATAACCATGAGCAGCAAGGAAAAAATTGCTAAAATCGCCAACCAAAGGTGGTCCCTTTCAAAACATTCAATGGTTGCATCATAGAAAAAAAGGTTTTTCTTTCCAACTTTGATGCAAGAAAGCAATATGAAACTTGTAATAGCTAGGTTATTGTAGGCCAGCAATGTCAGCAGCCAAAAGGATCGCAGTATTGAGTTTTTACGACGCTTGAATCTCACCAGGTAGAACTTAGCGCTTACCGTGTACAGGAATAAAAAGGCTATAATGGTGGTGAAGGGGAACAAGTAGCCCATAGCAACGGCACCCAGACTGGTCATCTCTTTTACTGCGCAGATTTGGAAAAACCGGAAGTCGAAATTCCATCCAATTCCATTTGGCTCCAAGACAATAAAGACGATTTGGAGGAAGAACAGGGGTCCTCGAAGATCGCTGGACATTCTGGGATTAACTGCAATTATTATACTGATAAAGATCAGGATAACGATGATTTGAATGCCGATTACAAAAGGCGTTGGCCTGCCTTCACATTCTGTACAATCTGCCAAGCTAGAAAAGAGAAATACACGGCATTTAGCAAAACATACTAGAAAAGACAAAAAATTTGAAAGTTAAGCAGTTATAGTATTAGTCAATATCAGCCAATTACGGAATGAGGCTGATAATAGGAAGAATTATCATAACTCCTCGATCTGCAGTGCAGATCGAGGAGTCGAGGGCCTGGATAACACACTCAGAGATCAGCACAACTTTTCTTTAATTGTAAAAGGTTTTTTTAATTCATGTAATTCTAGAGTTACGATTGTCTCCTAACCTAATCATTGTGTATCCTTCCCTCTCCTCTAGGGGGATTTTTTTTTTGCATACCTCCTTCAAGTCAGAAGACGAAGTGAAACCCCACAACCACCCCCTTCATTAGGAAATGAAATGTAGATAATTATTAATGAAGAGATAACACACGGCACCCAATTAGAGTTGTTTCTGGCACACAGGAAGTTGCGGAGAACACTATTGTCTCAGTGGGGAACTGCAAGACCTGAGTCAGTTCCGGATGCAGACCTTGAGATAAGGGGTGGGGGGCGGTCATACAGACCGTTAGAAAAGGGGGAGGGGGGCGGTCTACTAATTTTTTTTTAGTTTGGTCTTAAAATAAGGGGGGCGGGGCCCCCCGGGTCCCTCCCCTGGATCCGCCATTGTGAGTGATTTCAAGTTATCAAAACTAGTATTATTAAGGGAAAGGGTAGTGTTGAAACGGAAAGGGTGAACTGATATGCTGGGTTTGTCAAGAAAGTAAAAAGTTTCAGTCTTGCAAGATGATTGGGTGCAAGAAGAACTGACGGCACTGTACAAAAAAAGCAAGAAAAAGATAAGGAATTTACGAAGTAAGAACACAGTTATGTAGGTCAAATAAAATATGTTGAAATGCCATTAAATTAAAATGTCACCTTTCGAGTCCCAAACTGAATCCCAGGTTAAGTGCAATGTTGAGTCCAACGCTGAAATTTTTCTTGCAACGACCACACAGAATTCCCGTTCGATTGTGAACACATTGACCATCTACTCGATCGGGATCGAATTTGTATCCCGGCAAATCTCCATCGCTTTTGCAGTGACAGAATTGATAAGGGCACCTGTAGGTTGCTAGGCGACCATTCTCTACTTCTCCCCAATAACTCTTCTTCAGATACACAGTTCGTCCATCTTTTCCACATCTATGATTGGAAGTCAGCAAATCAAGAATTCGTAGATCTGAGTTACACAATTTAGGTCCTGCAAATGCGGACTTTTAGCTTGACAGAAATCAAATAAGCTCATTCATTCCTTCACCCCTTCGTCGTCATTCATTCATTAAAACATCAATGAAGAACTAAACGGAGGGAATGATGGTTGTTGTAGTCAAATGACACCCTTCCAAAACGTTTAGAGTTCTGAAGTAAGGGTGGTTCTAAGGGAGGTGCCCGGATAGCCCGCACCCCTCTTAACTATCGAGACCGCACCCACTGGCCGCACAATAGGCAGGTCAAGTAAAGGCAAGGTAACAACGGCCGCAAGCAGATGTAAACACCGAATCGACCAATGGCAATGCGGAAAATTGAGCACCAGAAGTCGAAAGAGTTCAGCCCGTCCCTGATTCACTGCGTCTGCTTTTAACCTTTTTACAAGGCTAAATTGACTTAATAGACTTTGTCAATAAAACCAAAACTTGTTGGTGACTTTTCACTACAACAACCAGCATTTCTATGTTTCGTCCTTCGGTGATGCTTTAGTGAATGAATGAATGAATGAATGAATGAATGAGTGAAGGAAGGAAGGAAAAAAAGAAAGAAAGAATCAATGAATCAATGAATAGATGAATGAACGAGCATTTTTGCGTGTCAGGGTATTTAGCCTGCTAGCTAATTGTCGATGTTAAAACATCAAAAATAATAATATTAACGAAGATGACGATGATGATGAGGACCATGGTGATAAGATGATGATGATGATGATGATAATGATGATGATTCTCATGGGCATTAGATCTGTTGCAGAAAGCGTGTGTGTTGGGCTCTGCAAAAATACTGAGCAAAGTATTATTAATAGACACTTGGGGCCAGTTATTTAAAAGGAGTTAAGTCTGCGTTTAACAAAACCGCGATCTAAGCCATTTTCAGTTTTCACATCGCTTTTATCAATTAACCATTTGTCGTCAACAATGTCAATAAAGCTTATAGTGTAGACTGGAAAAGCACCCATTTTCTTAAATTAACTGAGAACTGGAGATCTGATGATTTCTTAAACCGCGGCTTAAGTTAGACTTCGTTTAAATAACCGAAACTAAATTAGTGAGCTTTAGGAACTGTTTTAAAAACGAGCAGGAGTGTATTATCACTTCTCGTTTTTTGAACGACTTCAAAGGCCTCGTATATAGATCAACTCATTATTGCAGTAATATTTAGATTTGGGGTTATTTTGGTTTAAAAAATTGGACGTGAATTTTCGCCTTGTCTTTATCAGATATAGACACTAATTAAACATTAACTTTTTTGTTTTTTCTTTATGAATTATTAATGGATTTTGGTTATGAAAGAGGAAAGGTAATAATAAACTATGAAATGCTCAGGTAGGTTTAAATTTACAATTCTTTTCATTTGTTCTTTACTAGGTTATACTACGAGCAGTCTCTCTTTTTTCTTGGTCCATCGAGCAAAACGCGCGGGACGCGTAAATGATCACGCGCGTGGTTGAAGGCGCGAGACAGGAGAGGCACGAAAAAAGAGAGTCACTCTTTTTTCTTCTCGGGCTGCCGCCCTCGTTTCTCGCGTCTCGCGGCTTCGCCGCTCGCGCAAGCGTACACTCCCCCCACTGAATCTGAAGAAAAAGTGAGACTGCTAGCAGTTTATTCCATTTACCTCAAGACGCCGTCGATGGTCTTGTCACAATGACATCTGGTGCCTTTGAACTTGAATCCTGGTTTGCATGGAATGGAAGTGACGTTAAAAGTATATGTGTTTCTAAACAGTGAATAAACACTGTCCATATGAAAGTAGTGTACTTCGTGCTTTTCGATTTCTTTATAAACGGTCTCATTTGCCAGGTGATATTGGAAATTGAATGAACCATTATCCAATGGCGACAATAACATGGGATTGCTCAGGTAAAGAGAGTTATGACCAATGTCGAAGCTGTCATGTTCCGTAAGTGAGGCCATGGTGAAGATAGTATGGTTGAGTTCATCGTAACCGCTAATAGAAAGGCGCAGAACTTCGCCAGGGGAAAGCTGTAAACAAAAAAGAAAGAAAAATAAAGTCTTTCTATTCAGTATTTTGCACTCTTTCCATAGTAGCTCACAACGGTTGGTACCGACTAAAAGGCTGGATCAATTTGTGTGATTTTAAAATCTATCTAATAAAGTGGTAATTGAACGCCGTGTCTTGGAATTTTTGTCTGAAATCATACTTGTGGTTTGCAAATCGAACTCTCGCTGCGCCGATCAAACTGCGCACCAACTGTAGACTCTTACCCAATGAAAAGAGCAGATATACAGTGTGTAATTGAGCGACGCACGTCAATAGTCTTACAGAGACCATTTGTCCGAAACTTTGGGCAAAACCACTGCCTATTAAAGATTGCAGAAAGTCCAGTTCCGGTTAGCCGGCGTAGCAGGCGCTTGGAAGTAGAGGGCACAAGAAAAAACGGGCGCGCGAGAAGGAGACACGCGAGGGGAGAGGTAGAGGGCACAAGAAAAAACGGGCGCGCGAGAAGGAGACACCCCTCGAGTGTCTCCCTCGTGCGCGCCTGTTCTCTCTTTCGCCCACTACTTCCAAGCGCCTGCTACGCAGGCTAAGTTCCGGTTGACTAGCGTCGCTCAAAAACATCTTTGCTTAAGCTCACTGATACCAGTTAACACCCTAAACTCTGGACTAAATATTCCATCAGAAAAGTGGTTAATGTTAATGAAATAAAGTTGGAATAGAAAAAAAGGGAGAGAGAAAATGAACATTTTTGGCACCTGAAATGTCACGCAGGATTAGAGAAACAAGAGGGAGCTTAACCCTTTAAGCCGCAATATCTACATACAAATTCTCCAAACTGATCTCTATACATTTCCTTTAAGAATTAGTTAAGAGAATGTGATAAAAGATCAAAGTATTTTCTCTTAGGTGATCATTTTCTTAATTCTCATAACCTCATTTCATGATAATGTATGGATATTGTTAGGAGAAAATTGCTGTTGGTCACTATTGGGACTTAAAGGATTAAGCAACGACGACGACGGCGGCAGTGAAAACGTCGCTTAAAAATGAATTTGCTTCCGTTCAAACTTTATCGCGTCTAATGCACGTTTAGAGCTTTTGATTTGCTCATAAAACCAAGTGCGGCTTTTTGACGATGTCGTTGTGGTCGTGGTCGTCGTTGTCAGTTAACAGGGGCACCCAACGACAATTTTCGGAAAAATATCTGTTCGGAAGACGATTTGAGATCTAGAATTTTCGGAACATTTGTTGTAAAATTTCTTACTTGCCTGCCTCTCCTAGGATTTTCGAACATATAAAAAATGGTAAAATTGATCATTTTCAACGGATTTTTACCCTAAAAAGGTCACCTAGAATTTTCGGGAGCCTTTTTTCTGGCTGAAATTTTCAAACAGGTAAGTTTTGATCCCTATAATTTCCGGATCACTAGACTTTCAGCTAGGAAATCCGAACAGATGAAAAATTTATAGGGGATAAAAATATGCCCATATCCACCGTTTTAATACTAAAACACGTTTAACAATGCTATGTTTAAGTGGTTTTGAACTATATTCTCGTTGGGTGCCCCTGAGTTAAGCTCCCTAATACTTGAAGGTCTTAGACTGCACTCAGTACCTTAATTTGAGAAATGTTCCCAGTGGGGTGAAAGTGATGGAGGTCCGTTGCAATATCGTACTCGGGTCCCGACAATCTCTTAAAGTGTTTGCCATAAAGAAGAAAATTGTCACGGAATTCAAACGAATTATTCCAACGAAGTGCCTTGGCAATGCTGTGGAATGGATACTCCTCGTTCCATGAGCATTGCTTTAAGCTCGAAATGTACACTGCGGCACCTTGAAATGCCGCGCTGTTCTCGACAAATGATACCTTGACCTAGTGCGTGAGAGAAACATTAAAGGTAACGGGCCATCTCTGTCAAATATGAAGTAATAAGATAATGTCGTACATCCCAGTCAAGTAAGAAACACTTATAAAATAATGGTTTACGGCCATTTAAGTGCGTCTAGTATAAAAACAGGACACCGTAAATTGGGACTGTGTATTTATGCCCAACTCGTCCAGGGACGAGTGGGAGGGCTCCCAGGTTTTTTTTTTTTTTGTAAAAACTCTGTCTCTTTTAAATGTTATTGCCTACTTTTATACGTCCTGTTTTTACCCCAAAAGACTTGAAAGTCTCAAACGTTTAATACGTCTACACGCCTATAACGTTCCTAGCGTAAAAATCGCCATTATTTAGGATGTTAAGGATAGAACGCTCAAAATATTGTGACCATAGTCCGGTATTTCTCGGGGCGTGCGGGAGGAAATAAAGTAAGCAGAAGAAAATTTTAAAAATGAAAATGGAAGAAGAAAGCATTTGACGAAAAAACGTTTTAAAATCACCATAGCTTTTACTTAGCTGTCTGTTTTAGAACGGTGACTTTTAGAGGCCAAATACAGTAAAAAGCTGCGACTAAGAACCTGTTAGACTAAAATTTGCTGGTTAAGCCCCCACTATACAAGAAACTGTTTAACCTAAAACCTGAAACAGGTTCTTTTTTTCTAATATGTATGAAAAAAATTCAGGGCAAATATTAAGATAAGTCATAGTCAGCTGAGGATCCTCTTTGGAGACATAGGTGCCTTATCACTCCAACTGTAATGTAATGGCATGCAGATTTTATATAAGGAATAACCTGAATACCACTTAATGCTCTTAGCGACAATGTACTTTTTTCTTCAGAAAATAAGAACGTACTTAAGAACCTAAATAGCCTAAATTTGTCCTAAATCCCATTTATGTAAGACCCTGTTTAGGCTAACTTGGGAAAATGTAGGTTCTTAGTCCCAGGTTTTCACTGTATAACATCGGCTCCTGCTGTATAGGCAATGGCATTCAATTTCCCGATGATCACCCCGTCCCCTCACATGGAAGTCAGTCCCCTCGCCGGATTTTTATTCTTACCTTCCACTTAGATGGCCCTGTGTTCCTTTCGCTGTATCTCATAAAACAGTACGGGTTGTACTTTCGTACAAAGTCGTACGGCCAGCCACCGATGATAGTTATCGCTCCTCCAATCGTAGAGCAATGATTTCTGACAAAAATAAGTTTACTACCAGGATGCAACGTAATCGACGAAAAAATCGAAAATACGGCTCCTGCTTTTACACCACAGTTCTCGATAAATTTCAAAATACCTTTTAAGTGCACCGAGCTTACCAGGTTTTCCATAGCCCCGGTTCCGTAATTCTCTGTGAACACGTTTATGCCGGTAAATATAACTCTCATCTGAAAAGTCGTAAGAGGACTAGCATATGTCGAATACGTCGAGTATGAAGCAGAGTGGTTTTTAACAGTGCAGTTAACAAATTCCGCTTCAGATGACAAGTTGCCCATAAGGCGTATTGCTGGAATTTCCTGGCCTTTATTTCCATCCCATGTGACATTATCAAACCGTATTCGCTCGAAAGGTTGGCCCACATTCACCCCACCTCCAGTTAGTGCCCAGTTTTCTTTAAAAACGCAATCTTTGACTAGCAGAAAGCCGGACGAATTTTGGATCATCATTCCACCGCCATCATGCAAAGCCCTGTTGCCCGCGAAACTTGATTTTTGTATCTCCATTTCGTTCCCGCTTAACCTATCAGAGTCACTAGAGTGATCAGCATAATACACTCCTCCACCGGAAGTAGCTTGATTCTCAGAAAAACTAGTGTTTTCTATGAATACTTTATTCCCATGCGCACTTCCACGAAACACAATTGATAATCCACCACCCATGATACCATTAGCTAATTCCGAGAAAATAGCCTGTTTCCGGCTTTCCTGTTTTTCCTGCCCAAATCTCTTCGCTCCGTTCCCCCGACCTGAACGCCTCGAACAGGCTTCTGGGAAAGTAGAATGTTCTACATAAATTTCCGAGTTGTTCAACACGACTGCATTTCTCATAAAAACTGTGTTTCGAACGATCACGTTCAAATTACTTGCGTTTTCAAACAGAAACTTTGCGCCCCCAGCGAATGCCTGGACTGCCTGGAGTCGACCGTCATTAGAATGCGACTGGCCTGGATTATTGTTTGAAAAACGACAGGTTTCTATTGAAACACCGCTATCAAAAGCAATTAATGCGCAACGTTTGTTATCTCTGAAAACGCAGTTAGTGAACGAGGCGTTGACAGCGTTCCGTATCGTTACAATAGCGGAAGAACTTGTTCTAAAGTTCCGAAACTCGATGTTTGCTACGTGAATGTTATGAGTTTTATTTCCCGTTTCTTTGCCAATGATAATGCCGCAGATGGTAGAAAATTCAAATCCACAGCTTATGACAGATTCAGAATTATTATCGGCTGTTGTTAAGGAAATTTGTCTGTCCGCTCTAGGCTGCGAAATTTGAATTTGCTTTCGCAAATCGTAGTATTTGTCTTGAATGGAAAAAGTAAAGGCAACCTCGTGGTCGAAGTTTTCGTCGTTTAGAACTGCAAGTGCGTATCCGATGGTTCTGCAAGAAAGAGTTCCATTTGGGTTTAGGCAACTTGTGTTATCCACTCCAGAAGACTGTGAAATAGGTATTAGAACACAAGTAGTGGGGTGAATCCACCAAAATAACAAAACAAACAGAAACATGATAGAGTCAAAAAGTAGGGACTTCGTTGAGTTTTCTGGCCTTAAAACCAAATTCTTCGATCTAAGGAAGATCGAAGAAGATCTAATAAAATTATCAAGTAAGCGCCAATTTATGCGAGAAATCCCCGGGTTTGTCACGGGTTTTTCCACAATTGCCTTCTGATTCAATGCGGGGGCGTGCACGACAAAACCAGGCAATTTCCAGACCATCTAGGGATAAGTAAATTCTTGTGATGATATTGCATCATTGTGAAAATGTTCTATTCTGGGTACTGTACAGCCGGTTGGGTTACAATGACGGCGATGCTCGTCGTCTCTTTTACGAGATATAAAAATTGCTGTTTTTGACCTCACTTAAGCTTTGGGCGTTCGGAACGGAAAGCCAATGCTTTTCAGGGTTAATATAATAATAATATAATAATATACAGTATTTATAGAGCGCTAATTCCCAATGGTCGAAAAGCGCTTTACATAGTAAAAATAACAACAAAATCCTAAACCTACAAAACTACATTGTCATTCTATAATAATTCCCAATGGTCCAAAAGCGCGTTACATAATAAAAATAACAACAAAATCCTAAACCTACAAAACTACAAAACTACATTGTCATCCTATGAAAACATCATTCTATACGACAACATCATAACCAATTTTAAAAAGCGACGTCTTGAGCTTAGATTTAAAAGAAGAAAGGGAATTACAAGATCTAAGTTCGAATGGAAGTGCATTCCAAACAGAAGGTGCAGCAATAGTAAAAGACCGGCCACCATAAGTTTTAAGATTAAATTTAGATGTAGAAAGTAAAAATTGATTAGAGAATCTAAGACGTCTACCAGGTGTATAAGGCTTGATGAGATCAGTGATATAGCTAGGTGCAGCACCATGAAGTGCCTTAAATGTAATTACTGCAATTTTGAAAGTTATCCTTTGTTCAATTGGCAGCCAATGAAGTTGAATAAGCAACGGCGTAACATGCTCATATCTACTAGTAAGATGAATAAGCCTAGCAGCACTATTTAGGACACTCTGTAAACGTTTCAAGATACATTTAGGCTGACCGTAGAGCAATGAGTTACAATAGTCGATCCTTGCAGTAACAAAGGCATGAATTAGAGTTTTACATGTATCGTAAGAAAGAAACTTGCGAATCTTAAAAATATTGCGTAAATGAAAAAACGAAGACTTGCTAACAGCAGTAACGTGCGGCAACATCGATAGAGAGTTATTAAAAATAACCCCAATATTTTTAGCAGTAGTTGAACAGTCAACAGTGTCAGAGGCAATCACCAGGTTTTTTAACGCAGGACGTGGGCGATAGGAGGATAAAAAAACTATAATTTCTGTCTTCCCACTGTACAGCTTCAGCTTGTTATTTAACACCCACAGGTCAATATCTTTAACACAATCTTCAAGAGCAGATGTACATGTTGACAAATCCTCAGGCGATGACTTTTCAAAAGATAAATATAGCTGTGTATCATCAGCATAAAAGTGATAAGATAGAACATGAAATCTTGCAATATCACCTAAGGGGGAAGTGTACAAAGAATACAGCAAGGGGCCCAACACGGAACCCTGAGGTTAGGATTGGTCTCCTTCGGGATTATAATTCCAATTTCAAAAATACATTACTAATTCATAAAGAAAAACCTAAAGAAATTAATGGTTAATGAGTGTCTTTACATCTGATGAAGACACGGCTAAACTATACGTCCAGGTTTTTAGACCAAAATAACCCCAAATCTAAATATTAGTGCAAGAAGGAGTTGATCTACTCAGAGATTTTAAAGCCGTTCAAAAACCTCGCAGTCGTGTATTATGAGGTTTAAAAACCTGATAATACACTGTTGCTCGTTTTTTAAACAGTACTTTTCGACTACCGTCCCCGTCTCTTTTACTGGGAGTCCCCCCTCCCCCCAATAACCTGGGCTCTACACTCTAAACACATGACAATTGCTAGTTTGCGCGTGACTCGGAAGCGCATACCAAAAGATTTCAAAGGCAGTTAAAAACAAGAACAAAACGTAAAAAAAGAACAGGAAATATTCACCCTCCGGAGGATAAGCTTTCAGATTCTCAGACATTTACCCACACGAGTAAATCCGAGAACGTTCATTTCGATGCAAATTATTCTATTCCTGATTCAAAATCCTCGGACACCCGACCAAACCGGGAAGTTTAGTTTGGGAAATTTGTCTCGAACCCGCAAAAACCTCCTTTAGCTAGTGAAAACGAAGCATCACGAGGACCATAAGAAAAGAAAAGCAGTTACATAAGGTGGAAACGATTTTGAAAAACTGAAGTGTCATGGTGAGGTACCCAGAAGTGATGTCGATATATTTAAAAATGATTTAAAAGAACCAAGCCTAATATGTAGACCTAAATGTTTTTTGTTTTATTAATTTTCTTTAATTGGGGACGTATATTTAGTACATTCCAGTGAAAAAAGGTAAGTTTATACAGTAGTCAGGCGGCGTGAAGACCAGAAGCCGTAAGAGTTTTGCTCTCTTTAAGGGCTTCAGATATCAAAAACCTTGCTGGGATTACCAATTCAAATATAATTCCAAAAATTACTTATTTTATTTACAATACATCAAATATTAAATAGCTGTAAAATTATGTGAGATAACTATTTTGTAAACTATGAACTGCATATACACTTTACCAAGCAAAATTCAGCAAAGATGTCCCTTCAAAAATTATTGTGACAAACGAAAGATAAGCCTAGCATCAAAGCGTGAGTCACTGAAAGAGTCTAGAACAATTGAAAACATACCTGTCAATGAGCTCGACCTTCTTTTGTCCAAATTTTTCATCTTCGTTCGTAAACAAAATGGCACTAAGCACGAGCCGGGTATTTTAAGCTGCTTCCAGTTTTTTGGACACAAACAAGAAGAAGGTTTCTAATCACTCCGTTAGAAAGACCAGTGTTGGACGACTTCTCGAAGCAGACGTCCAGCCAAACTTCGTTGCACAGCTAAGCGGTCACAAAAATTTGAAAAGCCTCGACAGCTACCATTCAGCATCTCTGAAGCGACAGCGAGAAATGTCTGCTATCCCGAATCGTGAGCCATGTACTCCGCCCAGTCCGAAGAGTACCTCCACTTCAATACAGCAAAATGTCTTCACAGTCCAACAAATCCAGCCTAAGGACATTTTTGCCGGAGCGCATATTGACAAGTTCGAAGGCTGCACATTCAACATCACCGTTTTCTGTAGTGATCAGTTGAAGATCTACCCTGCGAGCACAGGCCCTTCGATCTTCCTAGATAAGTCTAGGAAGATCGAAGGGCCTCTGCTCGCAGGGTATTGAAGATCGCAAGGCTGAATGAGAACTGATCGCTGAGCGATCGAGGCACAAACAGGCATTACTTACATTGCAGTTGCACTTTTGGTCCCTTTTCATAAATTGTTGTTTCAACTACAAGCTTTTTCATTGAGCCTGTATGAAAAATTTTGTCTCCTTTCATTGACGAAGTTTGTACAAAGCTGCACTTTGAACAGTTATTTTTTAGCTCTTATTAACCGAGCGCGAGGTCTGTATGGGAGAATCTTGACCGAGGTCGCCAGTACAGACCGAACGCACTGAGGTCTGTACCAGCGACCGAGGTCAAGATTCTCCCATACAGACCTCGCGCTCGGTTAATAAGATGTTTATTATATGGCCAAACAAGAAAGCAAAGGAACAAAAACATAAATAATTTTATTTGCTTCCCTGCGCGGGCTCAAGCATTTAGCTGGCTTTCTTCTGTCACTGGTCTCCAGTCCAAACGGGACAAAAATAACTGTTCAAAGTTCAGCTTTGTACAAACTTCACTGCATTCGGTCTGCACTGGCGACCTCGGTCAAAATTCTCTCATACAGTCCTCCCGCTCGGTTAATAAGAGCTACATCTAACTATTAGTGCAAGAAGGAGTTGATCTGTAACAGAGATTTTGAAGCCGTTCAAAAACCTCGCAGTCGTGTATTATGAGGTTTAATTACCTGATAATACACTGTTGCTCGTTTTTTAAACAGTACTTTTCGACTACCGTCCCCGTCTCTTTTACTGGGAGTCCCCCCTCGCCCCAATAACCTGGGCTCTACACTCTAAACACATGACAATTGCTAGTTTGCGCGTGACTCGGAAGCGCATACCAAAAGATTTCAAAGGCAGTTAAAAACAAGAACAAAACGTAAAAAAAGAACAGGAAATATTCACCCTCCGGAGGATAAGCTTTCAGATTCTCAGACATTTACCCACATGAGTAAATCCGAGAACGTTCATTTCGATATAAATTATTCTATTCCTGATTCAAAATCCTCGGACACCCGACCAAACCGGGAAGTTTATTTTGGAAATTCGTCTCGAACCCGGAAAAACCTCCTTTAGCTAGAGAAAACGAAGCATCACGAGGACCATAAGAAAAGAAAAGCAGTTACATAATGTGGGAACGATTTTGAAAAACTGAAGTGTTACGGTGAGTTACCCAGAAGTGATGTCGATATATTTAAAAATGATTTAAAAGAACCAAGCCTACTATGTAGACCTAAATGTTTTTTGTTTTATTAATTTTTTTTAATTGCAGACGTCTATTTAGCACATTCCAGTGAAAAAAGGTAAGTTTATGCAGTGGTCAGGAGGTGTGAAGACCAGAAGCCGTAAGAGTTTTGCTCTCTTTAAGGGTTTCAGATATCAAAAACCTTGCTGGGATTACCAATTCAAATATAATTCCAAAAATTAATTATTTTATTTACAATACATCAAATATTAAATAGCTGTAAAATTATGTGAGATAACTATTTTTTAAACTATGAATTGCTTATACACTTTCCCAAGGAAAATTCACCAAAGATGTCCCTTCAAAAATTAATATGAAAAACGAAAGATAAGCCTAGCATCAAAGCGTTTGCATCCCCCACCATTAGCAACAAATATAAATACTAAAAAAAAATTAATTAATTCCGCATCTTTAAGTACTACACAATTCTTTTTTAATGATGTTAAACAATACGAATAAAAACAATAATAGTGTTAATATTCATTCAAAGTATTTCCAAGCTAAAAACGACAAGCTTACCTCTCTCTTAAGATCCCGTCTTCAAAACTTTTGTCTGTCTTTCGGTTGTTTCAGGATATGTAGGGATGTTTACACTTTTACCCAGCAGATAATCTTTAACTAGCACATGCCATCCTTTCTGTGTTATTTTTTGTCTCTTCTTGTAAGGTTTTTTAGTTCCGCTATTTGTTCTTGGCAAAACGTGTGAAATCTTGCCCAATTTTAGCCAACTTTGCACTGCCGACACAACTGAGCCACCGCGCGCCGTTAGGTGATTTGACGTCTGTGTATTCCTTATACAATTTGATCTTATATTTTACTGTTGACGTCAATCGCAATGATAAAATCCAACAAATTTTTTTAATTTAGTCAACGCTGGCTGATTCTAGTCTATTAGCCTTGGGATCTAACCCATTAAGAAACGGGAAAATATTTTGAATGAATAAAAATACAAGGTATAATTATTGTTAATCAGCTTCTAAAGCACCTTAATTTCACGTCTGAAATATAATTGACGACAGATTAAACTACAAATATCGTTATCCTAATATCTAAATCATAAGTTATAACCAGTTCATCGATAGCGAGTATTGAAAACCCGGGGTTTGTGTAAATAAATACTTGATAAAGTACAGTACAACAGGAAAGCAAGAGTAAGCCTGGGACCTTATTTTTTTCTTGTAAATGGCGATTGTAATACAAAATGCATAACCACATAACGTATGTAATCTTCTCACATTATATAAGAAACTGCGAAATAAAATTGAGCACTCCAATTACAACTATAATAGAGTGAAACAGAATGCTTGGTATTGAAAGCTGTCCTCTTTTCTTCTGAATCATGATGTAGACAATACAAGGGAGCGAGTAATTGTAAGCAAGACCACTCAGCGATCCAACGTATCTGAAAAATAAACAGTCGTGAGATTTTCAACCTTTAACTACGGTAAAGTTCCGACTTTTTTATATTGAAATATTAGACTTTCTCGTTTGAAACAATACAAGAAGTAAATACCAGGGAGCTAAACAACTCGGGACCTTGGAATCAACCTTACGGATTCCAATGAAAACGTCACTAAAAGGTTTCAAACTTGTCGTGATCAGTTCAGCTGTTCGAGGTATTAGACGAGCTTGCTTAGCAGCGAGACTAAAGTTACAAGTGTTTCTTTCCTTTTTTTTTTTTCGTGCGTGCTCGCCAAAAGGGGACTCATGATCCTGTTCTTGGCGGAGACCGTGGAAACTGGGGATACGAATCGCGACGTGACCGACAACATGTTCAGACCGCCATGCATGTTTTGTGAAGAAAGCTTAGGAAAGATTAATGTGAAAGATGTCGAGCTTTTCCGAAACGGGTCGGTACACAAATTCTGTCGCTTGAAAGCGTTGATTATTGGCAGAAGTGAATACTTCAATGGTCGAAAAAAGAAGAATCTTTATGAGCAAAACTTCAATGTCCACTTGCTTTAATGACGATCTCGTTGCCGTCACTGTTTTTGTTCCTTAAGAGTCACTATCATGGCTCCGAGAGAGCTCAAAGACTTTCTAGTTGTATTACCTGATAATGTTCCCAACATGTGGATAAAACACAGCACAGAGAACGCAAGATCCGATAAGTACTAGGTTCAGGAAAAACACATGAAGGAAGCTATGAAGGAAACAACAGTGACATAAGATAATATGATGTTACAATGAGTTAAGGGTACATTGTCCAACCCGAGGGTGGGCCACTCCCTCGGATACGCCATGACCTTAGTAAACAGACAAAAATCAGATCATTATACGTTTCTGGGACACTGCCCACCTACCTCTCCCTTAAGCCAACATTTTGCCCCAAGTGAGGAGTAAATGTTAATGTTGGCTTAGGGGAGGGGTAGGTGGGCAGTTTCCCAGAAACGCATAATGATCCAAATCGTCTTCCACAGGGTCTGGAAAGGGGGTTCCTCGTCCCGAATTTCCGCTCCTTTTTCACGAGAATTCCGCATCCCGAACTTCTTTCATCGCGCTATCGTGAATATCGTTTTCATTCCTAATCCCCACTGGTGCCCAAATTTGGGCGAGTAGCAGTCAAATACTGTATCCCGTAAACGTTTCTCGCTGAATCCCGCACTGTATTTTGGTGAAATCCCGCATCCCGGGAATACCCTTCCAAGACCCTGCTTCCATTGACTCTTACACACCATAGTTATGACGACCGTAACAACAGTTTCAGTTTTCAAACACTTAGAACTTTAAAAGTAAATTGGCAAAACGTTTGGCAAACTAAGCTCGTTTAGTAATTACGCATGTCAACGAGGACTTTTTGTATTCGTACGTGGGCTACGCTTTTGCCCAATTTTTCGAGCATATCGTCACAGTAAGATAAGAGACAGTACGACACTTAGCAATACAAATTTGGGAATCATTATGCTTTTCTGGGAAACTGCCCACCTACCCCTCCCCTAAGCCAACATTAACACTTACTTCCCACTTAGGGCAAAATGTTGGCTTAGGGGAGGGGTAGGTGGGTAGTTTCCCAGAAAGGAATAATGATCCCAAATTTGGTAGCGTCAAGGCATATTAAAAAGGAAAAGGCCTCATTTCCGATTGACGTGCGTCGTTCATAAACGCCTTTACTCAAGCAGGCTCACTAATCTTAACGACTCACCTTGGATAGATTTTGTTGAAAAAATACAGCATGAACTGCACGCGTACGATATACATAACGAGAGGAAAGACAGTGGTCAGTTGAAACAGAAGGAATACCCTTGCTACAAAGGTCATCACATCTGGAGCAGGAAGATTATCAAGAAGAACCTATCAAAAGAGAGAGAGATACAGTCAAAGCCCGTTAATAATACGCACATTGACGGGGACATAGAAAGTATCCGTATTAAAGAGGTGCCCGTTTTAAGCAGGTCATGTTATGTACGTCACACCTTTTATTTCAACAAAATACTAAAAAAAATAAATAAACAGCACATTAACACTGTAATATTAAACTGATCTCACCTCTATTAACCTTCACAAAGCTGACCTTCCGCGGACCAAGTCCACTTAAAACTCGCTAATCCATCCAATTACTTAAACAAAAAGCGCTCTCTGCATAACTCGTTTGATATCAAAATAGTTCAAAATTGACCTCTACAATTCATCCTATCATTCGCTGGGAACTTCGACATTCTGTTCCCTGAAAGTTTCTTACCTTCAAAAAGGAAAAACTAATTACAGCACACAATTGACGATGAAGTGTCCACCAACATAAGCGAGGTTGATTTTCAACGTACGAGAATCTGTTGATTTGGCAAGGAAAAAGTGTCCGCTGTCCACATTACAAGCCTGTACACAGACGTCTTTTCCTTTTCGTTCTTTTCGAAAACACCACCACTACCCTCTTGCTCTGGCGGTCAATAAATCCCCTGCGGTTTAGTTTTATCACCCGCGCTCGACGGACTTTGAAGAGAATTTAGAGGGTCTGTGAACACGCTACACATTTAAGGGTGTCCGTATTGAGCGGCTTGAATTAAGACAAAATCTAAAGGCTGTCAATGCTATCCCCAGGGACAAAGAAATCCGTCCGCCATAATCACTTGTCTTTGTTGAGCGGGTGACCCTAAAGCGGGGTTCAACTGCATGATTTATGCGGGCTTTCATATCTAGTATCCTCTACTAAGTAAGATTTTCATTATTCCAAACAAATCTGTTAGTTGAAATAAAAATATTACCTGTTGAATACAAGATTTATCTCTCGGGAATGAAATGAAAAACAGCACACCAACAAGGATATACGTGAAAGCAACGAGGAAGTAAGCTATGCTGAGGTCCCGTGCCTAACAAGAGAAATGCAAATACATGTACAAAGTTAGTACTTCAGTTAAAAATGTGAAATCTGCTACAATAACAAAAATAAACAATTATTTGACAAGGATGAGTAAAATAAATAAACTACTCTGATTTGTCAGTGTTTCAAAGATTATTTGTCTCTAACCTCGGCATCAGCAAATAGTTGATTGGCGAAACACTCACAAATACGATATTTTGCGAACCGATTCCAATAATTTCAATAATATTGTAATCTTGAAATTAATAACCAATACAGAAATGCCAGCCGTTCTCCACCCCCTAACCTGTGGAGGGCGCGGGGGAGAGAGACCTAACCCCCCCCCCCCCCAGGCTGGGAGAACCGGCTGACATTTTGGACTACACTTTGTCTTGTCATAAATCTTGTTTTGTTTGGTTTTGAGGAGGGGTCACAAGGAGTCGAACGAAACTAATAAAGTAAAATCGGAAAATTGCTCTCCAGATCATTTCCTTCCCCATCCCTCCCGACTCACTGACTTTTTTCTCTCACACCCCTTACAAGCCCCACCCATTCTCCCCTCTAAGTACTGTTTACTACTTAGCACGTGGGGGGGGGGGCTAGGGGGAGGGCCGGCTGACATTTCAGACTACACCTTGTCTTGTCATGAATCTTGTTTTCTTTGGATTTGAGAAGGGGGTCAGAAGGAGTCGCCATTTTCCCTCATAACAAAACTAATAAAGGAAAGTCAGAAAATTGTCCTCCAGATCATTTCCTTTCTCGTCCCTCTCCACTCACTAACTTTTTTCTCTCACACCCCTTACCAGCCTTAACCATCGCCCCCCCCGCCCCCTGCTTCAAAGTACTCTTTACTACTCACATTATTTTTGGGGTTTTCTTGGTTCCTCATTATGGAGAGTATGCAATTATGAATAAAGTACGCCAGGGTGAGAATTCCAGTAAGAGCAGGGAAGCTTGCCTTGAACACTGAGAAAAAACTTCATCATTACTACTATAAAACATTATATAACTACAATCATTAATAATCTAATAATTAATATTAATATTAATACTAATATTAATATTAATTAATAATTAATAATCTGAGGAGTGCCGTACATGCCGTGCGGTAACAAACTAAGTAGTAATAAAAATGCCAAGTCTAAATCTCAAGTTGACTCCAGAGAACCTTGATTATACTACGCTCTAGTCCTTCTATTGAGCACTCTGCCGATAGCCGTGCATATGCATCAACTGGTAACTACAATCATTATATTTTTAATACATGCATCATTATATCTAGCCGGATTTTTGAAAATGTCACCGCCAAATAGACCTCTTCTGTCAATCAGTTGTTTTGGCCATCTCAAAAGTAGCCAATATGAAACCTGAAAGTAAAACAATTGTTTTTTTTTCCTTCTCCTCCTTTCCTCCTCCTAGCTCTTTCCATTTTTCCTTCCCTTTCCTTTGCTAGTGAGATTTTCTACCTCTTTGGACACAAACATCCATCTTTTAGCGCTTTTTCACTGCAAATTTCTCTACGTTCTTTTTTTTAAACAATCAGCTAGATATTCAACATACACTTTAATTATTCAAAATCTTTTTTAAAAAAAGATTAATTATTAAGAAATTTCAAAGATGATCTTACATGGATCTTGACCATTCAACTCCATATGGATTCCCCATATGCTGGCTTTAGTAATACTGAATATTATAATATATGCTGCTGATAAAGTACCTGGTGGTGAAATACAAGAAGAATCCTTTTGTTATTCTCCATGTCATAATAATAAAATATTATAATGGATTATAATAACATTGTTACCAACAAGGTTTTTCATCTGCTCTGGCAGAGACATTTAACGAACAATTTCCAAAACTCAGAGCAACAATTTCAAATTAATGAAATATTTTGTTCAAATCACTTAAGCTTCATTTGTGACATAAAAATTAAGATTCTTTAGTGATTGGTTTAATTGAGGTTGTTTAGTACATATCTATTGTTGTATTATGTATTCAGACTCCCCTCCTGGGAATACATAACAACCTTTGTGTTATGTATCCGAACCTCCAGGGTTCTCCAGAACCTCTGGCGATGCGCTAAAATTCCCGTCTAGTTGATACAGAGGAGCTGGCTACTCACAGAAACCATCATATAATTCACTTTATTATGATTCCCTTACTCTTCTGTTAAGTTGATGTTAAATGTGGGTAAATAAAGGAATTGGATACACCTTCAAGGCTAAATTTCTTTCCCTGATTGCTCTGACTCCCCCAATGAAAGCGGGGTAGCCCCTTTTCAACACCTAACATTACAGAAAGTTCTGTCAAGCAAAAGACATGTACATGTACTTCGATCTCAAGTTGGTTGCCGCGTAGTTGATTTTTTCCTCTTTCCTCTTCAAATTTTCGGAAGAACCCTGACCTCAGTTTACGTCGCTGATTAAGCCTGAGCCATTTGAACGAAATAATAATGGATTAGTTTGAAATTTTTGCTCTGAGTTTTGGAAATGTTTGCTAAATACTAATATTAAATTGTGCATTACAGCAAAATCTCTTGAATATCATCACCAAAGTGACTGAGCAAGGTGTCTGCATCAAAACAGAGGAAATATTACAGTGAATATAGAGAAGGAATGATAACATGCATTGCTGGTGCGATTCTTGTGCCCGGGGTACTTTCTTGGCGGCGGAGTGCGAGGGATTTCAAATTGACTTGTAACCACTCTTGTCACGGCCCTGCCGCCAAAACAAAACAGAACTCCCACACAAATCCTGCCAGCTAAGCAGCCTAAAGGAATGTCACCTGTTGCTTAGCAAAAGTCAGAAAAGCTCAGCCAGTCTGGTCATTTTGAAAATGAAATACGCTTTTTTTCAAGAGTTTTTGCTTAACACCATCACCACCAAGCATCCTAGCTAGGATTACACTAATAGACAGAAAAACGTGGAATTCTCGTCCCCTGTTAGCAGAAGCCTCTTTTCCCTGGTATTCGGAGGGTGGATACTAGGGAAACAGACCTCTGTCAGTAGGCAAGAATTCTTGTCACCAGAACATTACATAATATTATTCCAGACCTCTTCATGTCAGTTACTCACCTAGAGAATTAAACTTTGTGAAGAATGTTGGAGATTTTACACTGCATAGTGGTAAGAGGATGGCAATTAAAAAGAATGGTACACTCTTCTGTTGACTCCAATACTTGAAAAAGCTTGAGGTGCTGGCCCTGACCAACTGATCAGTTGCGGTTGAGTTTGAACTATGGCCAGCAGGACAAAGCACTGAAAATCAGACAAAATTATATAACTTTCAGACCACAGTCATATTTTTACCCAGAAAATATCTATACTACCTGCTTGAATGGTATACTGGTTGGAACCCCACCCTACCCACAACCCTCTGGAAATTCTGATTTAGCTTCATACTTTCATTTATTTTGCCGCTAAACCCCACCTCCCCTCAGAATTTCCAATGACTCTCCAGTGGGTATGTCAAGATATTTTATGGAACCCCAGGGCCCTGGCCTTGGCGTCAACCTAAATTCAAGAAAAACACAAGAAAATATATATATATGCCGTGCCAACTTTCCCCACTTGCAGCCAATGGCTGAATTGCGGAGGAACCAGAGAGGTGAGATTGGACGCCAGCATGTTAAGGCGCACTCTTGCAGCCACTTCAGTCCATGTTTTGATCACACCTCGCCTATCCAGACTGACGACGGCAGAGTTGCTTAACGTCACCACCCAATGACGTGATCACGTGAACTGAGAAATGGGTTTCACAGCTAGCATGATCTTACCAGTTTTTTTAAAGACCTTGTTTGGTAGATTTTTTTTAAACTTCCCCACTCATTTCATACATGAACATGTACTTAAGCCAGTCATGGTTTTCTTCTGCTTTTTATTTTTCTCAGTTATAATATAACTCCTTTTTAAAACTTTCCAGTTTTTGTCAAAAAGATGAAATTAATTCAGGAAAGCCAGGAGCTCCAGGCTTTTCTTGATCTTTGGATCTAATTTTTATCATTTGTCATTACAGGTGTTAAATGCCAAAAAGACTGTGGTAACACCATTAGATGTTGAAAACAGACTCCAAAAGGAAGACATAACATCACGACAGTCAAGGATGTCTAAATTATACAGACGATATGGATGTAAAGGAGCACAATATCACCTTGTGAAGCAGCACTGTTTGGTGACACAGTTGTATTTAACATGGAGAAGTTTCCTACTGGAATTGAATATGCACGATGAAGCCTCTCTGTAAAACAAGCAATAAAGTTGGCAGGAATTATTATTATTTTTTGTTTCAATCTGATGTAACTACTGTAAAAAAATAACAAATTATTATGTAAGAACCTAAATTATGCACAGTGAATTAGGGATACTGGTTTACTATATGAATGCAAAAAGAAATTTACAAGAGGCAAATGTGATACTGCAATCATCATCATCATCATCACAATTCTCGTAATCATTATCAAAATTTTCATTCTTGCCATCATCAAAGTCAGGATCATCATAACTTTTGAATTTGGTAATAAATAAATATTTTATGTTGTGTGCAAAACTGATCATGCTGCAGTATTTAATTCAATTGTGACACATATTTCTAATAGCAATGCATGTATGTTATAAACAATTAGAAAAAGGTATCTTTACCATTAATGTAGTATCCAAAATTGTACAGGAAATTACTCATTAGAACCCAGAAGACTATGCAAGCTCCAGCATTGGCAGCCAGTGAAAACAAAACAGCAATAAGCTCGCCAGGTTTACCAAGGTACTTTTTACAGATGTCCGAAAACTCTAAAATTTCACCATGTTTGACTGAAAGAAAAGTGATTGATATTTAATAACACTTCTTCAACCTCAAACCTTACAGGTTTCCCTTTGGGTCAGGGATGAGGGAAACTAGAATTTGTAAGCACTCACCACCATTTGGGTGACTGACATTCAAATTGCACTCACCCAAATCAGTTTTGAGTAGCCCAGTCTCCTCCATAAAAAAAAATAGCTCCCCTCCTGATCACTGCATAGAAATTCACTCACCGTGTCCTGAAACAGACCTTAATAATTACAAACAAAAAGGAAACAGCAACAAATTTACCCCAAGCAAAGTGTCAAAATTATACACTAAAACGGTGGGAAAGAGCCATTTTGCCATGTTTTGTGGCTCAACGGATGACACGGCATATTTAATAACCAGAGATATCACTTTGTTCAATTTCATCCTTCATGTAACAATCATTGAAGCAGAGGCCATTTTGCCTGTTTACAAACCTGTTTTAGAAACTACAAACCAGGGGTGATGGACATTTCAGAATGGCAAGCTTTTGGCTTATTAGGACGGAGAAGATTTTTTTCAAGTCGAAAGTGAAAAGTGGTGTTAATTTTAAAAAAATTTCTTGTATATTATTGTGTATGAAAACTGTACGCGCCAAACCCGGGTGAGTGATTCTTGATTTGTATTCGCCCGACTGTTTTGTTGCCTGGGCAAGTGACCGGGCATGCCCAAATGTCCAACCCTGCTTTTTTTCAGAATCCAGGGTTTCCTTTGTTCAATACCCATGGAGTAAAAAATAAAACAAAATAGGAGAGGTCTCAGTGCATGCAGTGTAGCTACATCGCCCGGATTCTGAAACCAATGTGCTAAGGGTATTAAAGGGAGAAATAAAATTCTTAGGACCATGGATAACACTGAACCACAACACATGATTGTTATGATTTAATTTTATTTTCCTTTGTTTTTAGTATGGTAATGTATGATAAAGAGTTTGAAACAATGGGAAATGAAATTTGAACCAAGAATAAAATTGAACCACAACATGTACACCAAATGTTAATCATACTGATTAAAAGGATTAAAGATTCAAAGGATTTCAAGGGGGAGGGGTGGGGGTATGTTTTCTCAACTGGAATCACTCTGCAAAGTTTTATAACTTCAGAGAGTGGTAATCAAATTCTACAGTTCCAAAAAAAAAAACAGGGCAATTGATTGAGTACTTACTTGAATCCTCAGCAGTTTTAAGGATCAAATAACAACTGTAAAGACATAATCCAGCCATCAGTACCATCAGAATTAATGCAAGAGCAAAGCCAGCCTGCAATGGCACAAAGAGATGAGTGTTGCTAGTTTAATTGTGCTATTATATACAACTGTTTCAATTTCCTTGGTACGGGATCATATTATTATAAATAACTTTGAAAAATATCTGCTGTTTCAGAAAATATCCATCCATACCCCATGGGGGGTCACTGGAAATTGTGAAGGAAAGTAGGTCACCAAATGTTTTGCAGAAAAAGTATGAGGGAGGTGAGGTTTAAACCTAAAAACCTGCCATGGGTGGAGTGTTGATATTTTTCGGAACAACGCAATTTAATATATCTAGTGCATCCTGGGAGACCCAGGGGCAGATAGTGGGGGCGAGGGAAAGTCTAAACAGGCGGGAAAATATGGCACGAAGAGAAGAAAAGAAAAGAACGGCGAGAAGAGCCCCTGGGGACAATGTCTTACCAGACCAGTTCCAAACGGTTGCCGCCGTTCTGCCTTCTGATTGGGCAGAAAAACGCAAAAGTTTTCTGGCACCAATTAGAAGCCAGCACGACCACGACAGTTTGGAACTGGTCTGGTAAGACATTGTCCCCAGGGGCTCTTCTCGCCGTTCTTTACTTTTCTTCGTGCTATATTTTTCCGCCCGTTTAGACTTTCCCTCGCCCCCACTATCTGCCCCTGGGTCTCCGAGGATGATATCTAGGGATAAATACTCTAGACTTGTAACTACTCAGATCATAGCTACATTGCTCTAAGGTACAAACTGCAGAGAAATGAGGTGTTAAAATTCACATACCTGCTCTATTGCCCATGGTATACTTAACAATGAGGTGCCCATCATTGTATTCCAGACAGAAAAACTGCAGTTTGAAAAATAAAATATACACTGTATAAATAACTATTGGATCGGGGTTTTTGTAATGTATGGAATAAGCCATATATAGGTCAAGGTAAGGGTTAACAGCCAAAAACATGACTGTTCCAGATATCACAAAACCCAGATCTAATAATAAAAAATTAGTGATTTGTATAATAGTTTACATTGCTTTGAAAAAAATGGTAACAACAACCACAATAATGTGGGACACAGTTTTACATTGCTCTTAAAAATCATCCATTACCCGAGGTTACATACAGTTGACTCTCGATAATTCAAACCTTAAAATAAGGGAAATAGAAAAAAGTTCAAGTTATCGGGAGTTCGAGTTATCAAGGGTAAAATTACCGGTATATAGAAAACGACCTGAAGGGAAATCAAAATTGCCTCGAGTTAGCGGGAGGTTCGAGTTATGGAGGGTTTGAGTTACCGGGAGTCAACTGTAATTTTGGCAACTGTACAGTCACGTAAACAATTGTCATATTCAAGCAACATGCATTCTTGCACATGTACGTGGGAAAAAGGAGCAGTTGGCTGTTAAAATGTTGCTGGGTTTTCGTTCCTTTAAAATGAGTACCACCCTCAAAATTATTAGCACCAAACCAAAAAGTCTGGAATTTAATATTTTGTGTTTTGCAGTAATGTTGAAACCTACCTGCACATATAGATAGTAAATTAGTTGAAATGAGTAATGTTACTTACATTGTAATAAGACTGCTCTGTTTCTCATCTGTTTTCTTCGGAAAAATAAGGAATAAATTTGGAGGAAGCATGTGACTTGGAATAATCTAGAACAAAAAGATTACGCACATGAATAATACATGTCTTGCAATTAATGTTGTAAGCACACAAGAAGACCTATATAAAATTATACTTCTTCATAATCAATCATAACCCCACAATCTGGAATCATGATCAATGCTCCTGCAAAATCCACTTCAAGTCATCTGAAATTCAGTCTTATACATGTTAATGTAACTACACAATAATTTTCCTTCTTGCCTTTGTTCCTTTTCATCTCACTTTCATTTAAAGGATATGTTAATTTTGGGCATACCAACTTGATCGCGATCTTTGTTTCCAGACAATCACAATTTTTTCTTGACAATCAAATTTTTTTAAGAAAAATATTTTGGCAAAACTTCTTCATACAGTCCGTGCCAGGAACAAATATTGTGTGAGTGGCCATATTTATTAAAAATAAAACCTCTTCAGCAGCACTTTCAAGTAGTTCTATTTGTTTTTCAATATCCTACAAAATAAAAATTGTGTGGTTCCAATAATATCTATACCGCAGAAACCTCACCGTGAATTTCCAGCGGGGCGGGGTTGAGGATCAAGCTAATAAAAGGGTATACTCAGGCGCAACACATTTGGAATTACTGTCTTTTCAATTAGAAATGAAATTAATACATTAGGTACAACAAAAAAATGCTCAAAAAAAATTCAGATTTTTTGTTTTGAACATGTCTTTGTTGTACCTAATATTTTATTTCCAGTTTCATCATACTTGGGTGGTAAGTCGGCTTCGAAGTGTTTTTCAGTTTTTAGTATATTTCTTATTAGTCCATTATGTAAGTGAAAAGATTGAAGTATTTATATTTCTCACCACACTGTGCCCTGAAAGTTTGGAGATGTATCTATAACGGTGATATTTCGCAGCCATGTCTCGATCATGTGACGTCTGCAACTGATCTCTTAGTGAGTTATAATGAAACGGTTTCCTCTTGGGAATGTCGTTGTATTGCTCATCACCAGCTGTAACAACAGACCCACTCCTAGAATCCATTGCATTCTTTCTGGTGACCTCATCTTGATTTTGTAAACTATAAAAAATAATAGTAATAACAAAGGAATGAATTCCAAACTATAGTGTACAGTCAACTCCCTTGATAGGAGACACTGGAGGGACCTTGAGTTTTATTTTATTTTATTATTTTTGCTAAACAATAAGATAAGTGACACCACAAAAAAAGTGTACATATATTCACAGGAGTACAGGCGGGGACACCGCAATAGCGAGTGCCAATTACTGCAGGCCCAAGACACAGATCACTAAAAACAGGTAAAAGACTACAATACTATCTATTAAAAACAACAGGTGATGTTCAATCCTAAATTATGGGCCGTGTTACAGGAAAGGCACAGAGATTTGAAAGAGCAAGGGTCATCAGGGTCATCAGAACAAGCAACAGATAGCCCAAGGTCAGCAGCAAGAGCATTCCATATTCTACCAGTTCTGTTAAAGAACGATCTTTGAAAGGTTCTTTTACAGGACCTGATTAAAAATAAAGTGATATCCAAATTGCTAGTGTATCTAGTGGTTCTTGTTGGAGCGCCTATCGGAGGAGTGACAGTTGGATTATTTTCAACTTGCCCTGCAGTTACAGCCTTAAAGAGGAATACCACGTCAAGATATTCATGCCAGTATGTCAGGAGAAGCAGGTTTTTGCATAAGCTATCCTTATATGATTGTTGACAATGAAATGGAAGATTGATGATGTATTTTGAAGCTCGACACTGAATCCGCTCCATCTTGCAATCCAGTTCAATCGATCGAGGGGCCCACACTTGTGTTCCGTACCCAAGTTGGGATCTCTCACGTTAAATAGATGCATTGTCTTGCAGACTTGTTGAGTTAGTGCCCTCATTAGTGAGAGTCCCTCATAGCAGGAGTTTATACCAGTCAAACATGTGTAATTCATTTTTGCTTGAGATTTAGCTGCTGTCCATATTATCGGGGTGTCCGTTATAGCAGGGTGCCTGCAAGGCAAGAGTTAACTGTATGTGTGTTGAAGGCAGAATCCATTTTCTGGTCAAACTGTGGAGCAGTCAACCCAGCATAATGTGGTCAAAATCTGTCATCAAAGCCTGAGTTTTCTAGACACCCAAAGGTCTTAGTTTTCATTAAACACCCAATATTTTTTTAAAAAAACATCACAGACAGTAGCATTTTATGTGGGATAACCTGGGACCCAATATTACAGCAAAAAAAAATTATTGACTTATAAAATTTTGTATTGGTCAGTATAATTTTGCAGATCCTTTTCTTGCCGCCCAAGAAGGACAATATTCCTACAAGCTTTCCTCGTGATCTGCATTTGACTGTAGTCTATGCGGGCTTGACCGAGCCAAACCCACTGTACACCCCTTTTCGCCTCACCTTCCAAGCTGCGAACTGTAGATATCAGATTACGTTATTACGTGAGAACGGGCAAAAAATTACTGGGTTAAAATTATTGCAGGTTCTTCTCAACAAACTTAATTTCATTTTACAGGTAATTTGAATTGATTTAAACGATCTAGACTTAACTGGCTAATGACCGGCTATTCTTTTTTTCGTCTTGAAGTAGGCGACTGCGCGAATGTCCCTGATCGGTTTAGAATTTTATTTTTAGTCTCAGTGAAACGACAGGTCTGCGCCGACGAGGAAATTATTGATACTACTCATATACCTTCCAAACTAAAGAGAGTTAACGACACCCTTGGTCGTGTTGAAGGGATGCTTTCGTAATTGTTAACCAAAATATGTAAGTTTATCCAGTTTAAGCTTAAAACTTGAATCGCTAAAAACAAAAAGCTTTTTTAATAATTATCTTATGACGACAGCTCATGTGCATCAGCAGATTGTGGCTCAGTGCACGACATAATCTTAGTTATTTATACTTTCCTAACTTCAAGGCTCTACTAAATAATAGTGAAAACCAGTACAAATCAAAGTAACGCAATAATAAATCACTTACTTTGAAAACGAAACGCTGCTAGTGCGGCTGGATGCAAGACTCACTCTATCCGGAGAAGCATTAGGATTTCCTTGTACAGAAAGTATTGGGGTTCTCTCATCCGTAGGTCGCAGTATAGCACCATCAGATTTACTTCGTTTCATGGCAACTTAATAAATGTTGCACAAGCTTTCCTGTCAAACGAGAATTCCACAGCACCTCATCAACATTTACATAGCCGCCATGATTTATTTCACTTAATTTCGATGAACGCGAAGGACTAGGGTCTAAAAATAACGATGAATTAGTTCCGGTCTTGTTTCTTGTCTTTCATCCGGTTGGGCGGGAAACGGGGTGGGGGCGGCGGAAGTGGGGGCAACAAAAACCCAAGGTCACCAGCAAGAACGTATCATTCTGGGAATTTTAGGGCGCAATCCATTCAACCAAAACTCAATGGATATCGGTTAGGTCCAACCGGAAAAGTTTCGAAAAAACTGGTCCACCTTTTGAGGTGGGCAACTTTTCCCGGTCGGACCGGTCTGAATTTTGGTTGAATGGATCGCGCCCTCAACCGCCTCTCTGACTCCAACAAAAACTTTGATACAAGAAGCGGTTTAACCACAAGGAAAAAATGGCAGACTGGCGTAAAGAAGTTTTTTTTTGCACTGCAGGGATATGACCCCGCCCCTGTTATGTGAGCACAGTGGCCCCCTCGGTCTTTTGGGTAGATACTTCATAAGTACCTACATGGGTTGTACCGTCCTTTGCCGTCAAACATCTCAGATCACTAAGACAAGAGCCATAATGGCTGTTGTTGAGATTAATTAAGCTTGGGGGACTAAGAACCTTCTTTTAAAGAACGTAGTAGGCAAAAATTTGCCAGTTAGGCCCCATCTATGCAAGGGCCTAAAAAATTCTCTGTACATTTCGACAAATACGGTATTTATTCGAATAAGCACCCAACTGCTCGAATTAGCGCTCACCTCGAATAAGCGCCCATCCTAAAGGCAGAAAAAGTTAATAAGCGCCCAGCCCCGAATAAGTGCCCACCCAGTCCTCACTCCCAATCAAACTCAAATAAGCGCTCATCCCGGCCCCACTCCAGCCACTTGAGTGAATAAATTCTAATAAGAGACTTCCCCGAGTTTTCTTCAGAGTATTTTACAGAAACCTTGTGTTATTACTTAGCTTCTTTGCATTTTGTTATTGCATTTATTGTTTTGTTGCAAAATACCCATACTTCACTTGCTGAAAATGGTGAAAATTTAATAAGCGCCCAGCCTCGAACAAGCGCCCACCTCGAATAAGCACCCACTCTCAAGGTCCAAAAATTTAATAAGCGCCAAGGGCGGTTAATCGAATAAATACGGTAACTTAGCCTTGAACATTCAGGATCCTCGTTAGAGACATGGGTTCCTCATCACTCCAACCGCAATTGGAATGGTATACAGGTTTTACCTAAGGAATGAGCTGAATACTATTTAGTACTCTTAGCTGCTACAACGTATTTTTCCTCAGAGGAAATAAGAACCTATCGGTAAGAACCTAGTCTCCCTCGATGCCGTTTTTTGGATGTCACGGGGAGCGTTGCGTGACATCCAAAAGCGAGTGGAGACTAGTAAGAACCTGAATAGCCTAAAGTTGAGTTTGTGCTTCTTACCATTTATGTAAGAACCTATTTAGGGTAACTTGGGAAAATGCGGGTTCTTAGTCGCGGATTTTTACTTCACTTCAAGAAGGACCGCAGAACAGGATACTGATCGATCGACAGGCGGGACATACGAAGTACCTCAAGTGAAAGCCACAATGTCACATAACTACCAGAGGTATGCCAGCTGTCAATGCAAAGCCGGAATGGTCTGTTGTCTGATCTGTAGCTGAGTTCCGGTGATTTCTCAGGTTTTAGAGTCTTACGGTTTTCGTTCTCCATTGTAATGCCCGGAGCGCGCCAAATCAGCTTCCGCTCGAACTTTAACAGGCCTTGAACCTGAGAGAGGAATGCCTTTGGCATTTTAAGAGATGTTGAACTTTCCCCATGGTCAAAAGAAATATAAGAAATTTCTCTCCGCTGGAAGCACAAAACTGGAGCTAAGAATATTGAATTGCGAAGTGCCCAACATTATCTCCAAATAACGATCCAAGATAATGAAGGTAAATCAACCTTCAGCATCTTGGCCCAGGACGGCAACAATACGTATGATCACGCATAAATTAATGTGAAATCAACGAAAATCGCGCGGATGTTTTTATAAGATCATGCGCGCAGGCACACTCCGCGCAGGTTTACACCCTGTTTTAACAAACTCACAATCGTGGAATTGCACACATCAGGCATCCTACTGATTAACAGTTGCGACATATTTCCAGCAACATTTGGCCGTCTTTTATCCTCTAATTCACATAATACCCTAACCGCTATTGGTGAGGGGGTGGGGTGGGGGGCTACTTCCACGACACACTCGTACAGTTCTTTGTAGTTTTAACTGCATCTGACAACGAAGTCAAACTTCGTTGGGGTAATGTTACAGACGATTTGAAACGACCATTTTAGGGCAACATTATCGCAACAATAGCCTGCGTAGCATGGCGGTTTTGTCAAGACCGAGGCGCACGAGTGGCGAAGCCTGTGATGTGCTAAAAGTCGTCGATGCGAATCGTCCCCCAAAGCATCGCCTTCGCTCGACGTTTAATCTGGTTTAATGGGGGACGTGAAAGCACAATGACAAGTTTTTCTTTTTATTGTATAGCCGTTTGACGTAGTTCGACTGTATTTCAAGTTTCAAGTTTTTCTTTTTATTGTATAGCCGTTTGACGCAGTTCGACTGTATTTCAAAAATTCTACACAATAGAACGCGTTTGTATTAAGATACCACCAAAAAAGGGAAAAAAAAAAACAGAATGGCCCAGTTTCGTAAAAAATTACCAACGTAGACCGGAGAGTCGTCCTTCTCTCCTCAGAGCCAAGTGCGACGGGAGAAAAAGTAAAATCTCGCAATCTACTGTGACTAAAAAGAAAAATAACAAACTGCTTTCAGTCTATTAACAACGTAGTATACTAACTGTCGATGGGTGTGTCAGCTCAAATATAGTAGGAATACATAACACAAAATTAGCTATACTTCTTCTACTCAAAGGAATATTCGGAAACAGTGTGTATACAAATGCTTTTATTTAGAAAACTCTGGTATGCAATAAAGTTTGCACGGAAATACAACTTTACCAAAATTTTTTCGATAACAAAGGTGAAACATTGAAAAAGACCATTTCTGATGTATGAAAATTCAGGTAATAAATAGTTCTGTGTACAGCCGTCACCTCCCCCCAGGGCTTTTCTCCATTTTCTCCTGAGGGGAGGGGACGGCTGTACACAAGCCATTGAGGTAATAGATACTGAAAAGAACTTTCAACTGATACCTTACAAATTCGCATTTTAACTTTAACCAAGCGAAATGTGTTTACAAAACCAAGCAGCCTCGTTTCCAGAGCCTCTCTTACGCCGAGAACGAGGCTGTTTGAAAACCTGAAAACTTGGTACCTAATCGTAAATGAAAATGACGTGCATTTTGTTAGGAATCACTAGTACGGTATTGTCATTATCGCGGACATCACACCCAATGTTCATGAATAACTTTTCCTCCTGGTTTGCGATAGCCAATGACTTGAAACGCGGCTTCACTGCTGTCCTGCTTGGATGTGTTATCAGACAGTCTGAAATGTAAAAGGTTCTTTATTAGTCCCTCGATATTTTAATAACCTCATTCTGCATTTTGGGTAGTTTTCAGAAACGTGTTTAGCCTGCGAGCAAGCTCTCCATTTGGGGGACATCCTCCGCCTCTCGGTCAGCGTTCAAGTGTCACTAAAAAAATACAGACATCTAAGCTTATTCTGATGTTACTTAAAGGTGGAACGGGGCACGGGGAACGAGCACGGGGAACAGGAAAGGGTTACATTTTCCCGTTTCCCGGGCTCGTTCCCCGATCCCCGTTCCCCGTTTTAGTTACATCCGATTCTAGTCGGCAAGTGAGCAAGCTCTCCTATTTGGGCGAGTGAAGCGAGTCTCGGGAGAACGCGCGAGCGAGCGGCGAGGCCGCGAGGGGCCTCGGCCCCCTCGCTCGCGCGTTCTCGCGAGGCTCACTTCGCTTACCCAAATAGGAGAGCTTTCTCGCAGGCTACAAGTGCAATAAACACCCGCCAGCACTAAGCGCACACTCGGCTCGTTTCTAGTTCTTATTACATTATTCCATTACCTTTCTCTATCTTCCGTCTTCGGTTCTTCAATTCTCCTTTCTTCATTAGCCCATTCGTGCTCTCTCCTCTGGCTATAGCCTGAACTATGTGTAACTGGTGCTGAATTCTGATCTGCGCGTACTGCAGACGCCACATGGACGACAGAACTGGTGACAGTAAGCTGTTTGGGTGGGGTTGGGACAACTTCCGACGCCACAACATTGACTCTATATTCGGGCGCATTCTGCGTCTCTTTGCTTCGCCGAGACTTAACATATTCCGACACATGATTTTGATTCTGGTAATCGCGCGTAGCATCGCTATCATAACTGGATCGCCTTGGTCTTTGCTCAAAAGTTGGCCCATTTGGAATCATTATGCGAGACGAAGGACTATACTCTCGGCTACCTCTTTTTCCGTCGATACTCCGTCGTGTTTCCGACGGCCGAGACAGGTGCTCGAGGTTTACATCAAGACTATCCTCTCTGCTACCTCTTTTTCCGTCGATACTCCGTCGTGTTTCCGACGGCCGAGACAGGTGCTCGAGGTTTACATCAAGACTATCCTCTCTGCTACCTCTTTTTGCGTCGATACTCCATCGTGTTTCCGACGGTCGAGACAGGTGCTCGAGGTTTACATCAAGACTATCCTCTCTGCTACCTCTTTTTGCGTCGATACTCCATCGTGTTTCCGACGGTCGAGACAGGTGCTCGAGGTTTACATCAAGACTATCCTCTCTGCTACCTCTTCTTGCATCGATACTCCGTCGTGTTTCCGACGGCCGAGACAGGTGCTCGAGGTTTACATCAAGACTATCCTCTCTGCTACCTCTTCTTGCATCGATACTCCGTCGTGTTTCCGACGGCCGAGACAGGTGCTCGAGGTTTACATCAAGACTATCCTCTCTGCTACCTCGTCTTGCTTCGACACTCCGTCGTCTTTCCGAGGGCCGAGACAGGTGCTCGAGGTTTACATCAAGACTTGGGATCTTCTGCATTTGAACCGTAACAGGAGATAATCTAGGCGGCGAGTGGGATCGAGTGGATGTTGCCAGCACGTCTAGCCCAAATTTCTTTCGTATTTCAGTGTTTTCTTTCGACAACTTTTCCACCCTTTTCTCAAGCGTTCTCTTGGTACGGGAAAGTTCTAGAGACTTTTCCATCGCCATGTCGTTTATAACAGCATTTGACTTTTCTAGCTCTTCCATCGCTTTCGCGGCCCTTTCAGCCTTCTTTTCAGCAAACATTTTCGCTTCTTCTGCGTCTCGAAGACTTTCTTTTGTCAGCTTGAGTTCTTTCCGCATTTCGTCAACAGCTCTTCTCAAATTCTGAAGCTCAGATCCTTTTGCTGTGTTAGCCTGTGTAACAGAGTTCATTTCATCATCTTTAACTCTCAACTTTTCAGACAGTTCGCGAATTTCCACTTGAAGCTTTTGTTTCTCTTTCCTTTCATTCTCATTAAGTGCTGAAAACTCCTTTCGCTTTTCTTCAAAATTCCTTTTTAACGATTTTATTTCATCACTTTTGGATGATAAATCCTGCTTCGAAGCCTCCAATTCTTCTTGTACTTTGTCCACTGTTCGTTGCGATTCTTCACACCGTTTCTCGACGGCGTCTTTCTCCTTCCTAGCTCTCTGAATAATTTCGTCTCTTTCCTTGATATTTTTATTGGCAATTTCAACTTTGCGAGAAAGGTCATCGTGAAAAACTCTCAGATTTGAGTAATTTGCTTCCAATTCCTCTTTGTCGGATTTCACCCTTGACAGCTCTTCGACTCTTTCCTCCATTTCCTTGACTTTCGATTCAAGCATGCTTTTTTCCTCACTGAGTCCTTCAACATCCGTTGTAAGCTTTCGCTTTTCATTTGCAGTTCTCGCCACGGTTTCCGAAAGTGCTTCGCACTCACTTTTCAAATTATAAATCTCTTTTTTAAAAGCTTCCATTTCGGCGGCTTGACCTTCGATATCTTTTTCGTTTTCGTCATCTTTTGCCTTTTCTTTCTTATTTTTCTTCTTTTTTCCATTTTCGCTCGCACTGGCTTTAACCTTTTCTTTTTCATCCTTCTCTTTCTTAAGTTCACTTTTCAAAGTTTCTATCTCTTTTTCTGCCGTTTCCAAAGACTCGTGGAGTGAAGAATTTTCCTTGTTCAATTTTTCAAGTGCTGATTTCAATTGTTGGGAGTTTTCGGTAGGTTTTTGAATCGAACTAGAAGCGGAATTCTTTTCCTGTCCCTGGTCTTTAAGTTGTTGTATTTCCTTCTCGAACTGATCAATCTTCTTATTTAGTGTGTTATTCTCTTTCTCCAGAAGTAAACATTTCTTCTGTGCTTTCGCTAACTCCTCTTTTGATTCCTGAAAAAAAAAAAACATTCATTATATTGTTGTGAAGTATTTTGAAAGTTATTTTTAAGACGGATCTATCTCAACTTTTAAGTTTAGTTTTTGTTTCATTAAGTCTTGTTTTTGTCCACGTACTGTTTTCCTGTTTTGATCTTTTGTTTTTACTTGTACTTGAATTCATGCTTAGCTCGCTAATTTACTTGTTACCATATTAGAAATGTTATTCGCTTGGCATTGTCAGATGCTAGTTTTTTTACAAGTGGCCGTGTTTGTGGTGTTAGAGCTGACCTTCGTTCTTTGGTACTTATCAGTTGCGGCTGTGCTTAGGCTAATCTATTCCCTAACAATAGCAAACCTGTTGCAATGTTAGCGATAAGACATACAATAGAAACTCTTCCGGCCAGCTAATCCAAACATGTCCAGCTTTGCCTATTAAAACCGCCACTATACTTTTACTAGTAAGTAGAAGTTAGTAGAGAAGAGTAGAAAAGTAGAAAAGAGTTTGAAGAGTAGGAAGATTAAGAAGAATAAAGGCAAGATGTAAATCAGATGAAATTCCTGGTATCTCATCGTGTAGCGAGCGCGATGCTGGAACACACCCCCACAATATCAATAGCTGCTTACATCGCACAACCGCAATGCTAACTTTTCAAGTCAAATGAGTGAAACTTGGAAATCTTGTCCAATTTTGACTTTGGTCATATTTGGGAGTAAAAGAAGGATTTGTTCTAAAAAAACCTGGAGCACTGTATTGAAACATGGAAAATAAAATAATGACGACGAAGAGCACTTGTCAAAGCGGAGCCCATGATCCTCCTGAGATAGATTGACTGCATCTAGTTAATACAAGCAACTGTTAAATTTACTCTCAAAATTGTCATTTCAGTAATGGTACACAACTTTTTAGCGACAATCATTCTTTCACGTCTCAATAGACCATTTTACAGTTGTGGGCTTAGCATCCTAGCCTTTTTATGAATGTGAGGTTGAGTTAGACCTTGTTTTGATACAAACCTCTTTCCTTTTCTTATGAAAATAATTTATAATAAAGCCGGAAGGGTTGTATCAAAACAAGGTCAACTCGAGCCTCGTTTTCACCTGTAACTGAATGGGCTATTGCTGTGTATTGTTGCGATGCACTGATTGCTTTCTTGAATCACGGAAAGTCTGCAATGCCAGCCCACAACTCTCAAATAAACCCTAAGAAGGGGTTAAGAATGGTCTCTCAAGAGAGTCAACAGTATTTATGGTTTATTGACCCTTTCGGCCCCCTATATCCACATATAATTTCCCAGACTGTTCTCCATACATTTTCTAATAGAATGGGTTGAGAGAATTAAATTAAAGATCAAAGCATTTTTCCTATGCTGTTAATTGATCATTTTATAAATTCTCACACCCCTTTCCCCTGATGATTCGTGGATATTGTTGGGAGATTATTGATGTTGGTCACTCTAAGGACCTTCTTACCTGAAGCATCAAACTATTTCCATTTTGATCAGGATTCTTTTTGAAACGTTTCTGTAAGCTGTCAAGTTCTTCCTCCAGGTCTTCTTTGTCTAATTCAAGCTGTTCCTTTTCAGCTTTTAGCTTTTTGTTCTCCTTCTTTAAGCTTTCGTTTAGCCTTTGTACATCACTTATCTTTAACTGACATGACTTAAACTCCTTAGCCATGTTCTCTTCCGATTCTTCAGCCATATGCAGCAACTTTTGCAAGTTTGCATTTTCGTCATGCAACAACTCTAACTCTCGACTCATCAAGTCAGATGGAATGTCTCCATCATCATCACTTCTTACTTTACTTTTGAATTTTTCATTTTCTAAAGTCAGTGCATTAATCTCAGCTTTCAAGTCTATGATTTGTTTTTCAATGCCTAAATCAGTTTTTTCATCATTTACCCCATCAACTTGATTGTCCAATACCACTTTTAAATGATCAACTTGACCTCGTAGTCCATCACATTCTTCTTGCAGGGCACCTCTCTCAAGTTCCAGTTCAGAGGAATTAACCACATGATTTTGAATCTCTGCAATGGTTTCCTCAATATCTTTCAACAACAAGTTCCTTTCCATTTCCACAACTGACTTTTCCTCCTCCAGTTTACCTGTGCTTGAGTAATGATCCTCAATTTCTGCCAGACTGTTTTCTATTTCCTGAACTAGCCGATCTTTCCGCCTGATGATTGGAGAACCTTCAATGTCATCCACTCCATCAGCACTATCAAGAACATGCAATCCTTCGGACTTCTGCGTGAGACTTGAAATGTTGTTACTGATGAATGGATCCGTCGTATGTTTTCCTTTATTGCCGGATGGAATACTGTGATTCACTGGGATAACCTGCTTGGGCCGTGTTATTTTCTTGAGTGCTAGAGAATCAAGGGGTAACCCATTTATCATCTCTTTTGGCATGCTAATTCTACAGATAGCACTAGGTGAGGTAAGTTTCTCATCAGTCAAACACACGGCATGGCACTGAGTACTTAGACTGAGTTACATTGAATCTTTTACTTGTAATTCCTCTGAAATAAAAGCAAAAAGAACATATTGACATCAGTAACTTCAAGACAAAGTTTAGTTCACATGAAGATTTCAAAAAATGTAAACACAAGATCATCACATGACCAGTAAAGCTGAATTTGAGGTGTCAGCCAAATATGGTTCATTGGTGTTATTTACTTCTTCAGAAACACCTTACAAAGCATTATTTTGCTTTAAAATAATTATTTATTGCGTCTGAGGTACAGAATAGCATTTTGAATCAAGAAACAGAAATGAACTATTGTTCACAAACATGTTCCCCATGAGTTCTACAGGTTCTTATACCGAGGATGAGCCAAATTTTCATTGGCAAAATAATCTTATTTTACATAAAATGGTGGCTGGTGTAGACAAGGTAGTGAATTTCAAGGACTCTTCAAGACCTAATAAAGACATCAAGTACTTTTCAAGGACTTTTCAAGACAACTGGTAAATTTTAAGACCTTGTCAAGACTGCACGAAGTATGAAGTAACTAAAGTGACATGAAGGTACGACTGGGGGAACATGATATATTATTATTATGTGCGGGCAGTTGTCCAACAAAATGTGAAAAAGAACTGCACACCAACTAAATGTTGAAGCAGGTGTAGCGACCGCTTTTGGGTGAAGGCGGCGCGAGGGCAACATGCGTTGCAGAAATTCTGAAAGGTTCACTCCACAATGACCAAAACGTCTAACAAGATCCTTAGTTCCGTTTAATGCTGGTTCACAAGATGTTAACGGACCGAAGGGACCGTCAAAGACTGTAATGGCTATTACAACATGCTTCGTGCGAAGCCTAAAGAACTGCGTTGGGCGACGTTGCCAAAAACACTCCGCTCTCTAGTCGAGCTTACAAAAAACTGAAAACCCGGATGCGCGTGACCGGGTCACGTGTTAAACAAAACAACTGGGAAGGCGTTACATGGCTCCCCCATACATTGTGAAATGTATGACTTAACAATAAAATAAATGTCAAAATAAACTTAGTGTTCTTAGTGTTCAAGAGGGTAATTCTTTCTGCTGGCTCCCCGACGGGGTCGTACTCCGGTCTATCGAAGTTTCCTTCTGTAACTTGCATCAGTCGTCTCTTCCTTCGGACGATGAACAAGGATTAACTTGTGTACGGGTCTATCCAGAAGCTTCTTATTTCCGGATTCAGTATAGAAGAGGGAGACTTTGCGAACGAGTCCGTCATCACTGGGATAGACTTGGGTGACTCTGGCGAGAGGCCATTCATTTCTTGGGGAAGAATCTTCGCAAATCAGAACAATATCATCAACTTGGACGTTAGGGACGGTCTTGTTCCACTTCTGACGCTTTTGCTGCTGTAGACAATATTCTCTTTGCCATCGGAGCCAGAATTGGTCAGCCAAGAATTGAACTCTGCGCCATCTCTTTCTGGTGTACAGATCTGGTCGAGAGAAGTTGCCAGGCGGAGGTAGTACTGCCTTCGTCTTCAGAGTGAGCAAGTGATTTGGTGTGATCGGCTCAGGTGCTTGTGGGTCTGACAAGCTGTCGGTGGTCAGCGGGCGGCTGTTCACGAGGTTTTCGGCTTCAGTGAAGAGAGTACGTAACCCTTCGTCGTCTAGCTGCGTTGACTGATCTTCGAGGAGGCCAGATAGAGAGGAGCGTACTGTTCGTATCATGCGTTCCCACACACCTCCCATGTGTGAGGAGCTGGGGAAATTCATCTTGAACTCGATGAAGTCGCATTCTTGTGTTAATAGGAAGTTCTTCACTGTGTCAGTGTTCACCTCTGCATTGAGCTCGTTTCTTCCTCCGATGAAGTTGCTTCCTTGATCTGATCTTAGTTGGCGCACTTTGCCTCTTCTGTTGATGAATCTTCTGAGCGCGTTAATGAATGAACTTGTTTCCATAGTGTTCAAGGTTTCAAGGTGTATCGCCCGGGATGAGAGGCACGTGAAGACGATGCCCCAACGTTTCAATTCCTTTCGGCCTTCCTTAATATACCATGGGCCGAAAACGTCCATACCCGTGTAGGTAAAGGGCGGTGCTTGTGTCACACGTTCTTCAGGAAGATTTGCCATCTTTTGGACTTGTGTTCGTCCGCGCAATTTGTGGCAAATGGCACAGCTTGACAGGAGATGGGAGACAACAGAACGACCGTTCACAATCCAATAACCTGCTTGCCTGATGGAGTTGTGGGTCATCCCATAACCTGGGTGGTGCTCTTTGCTGTGAAAGTGTCGGATGAGGAGATTCGTCACGTGACTCTTCTTTGGACATATGATCGGATGTTTTATGCCATAATCTAATTCGGCTTTTAGGAGTCGTCCGCCAATTCTGAGGATTCCCTTGCTGTCTAAGAAGGGGTCCAGTTTGTAGAGAGAACTTGTCTTCTTGATCGTTTCGTTCCTGGTATGAGCACTGTGGCGATCCTGGAACATACCATCTTGGTGGTTGGCATTTTGAAGGATTTGGATCTCCTTGCCGAAGTGCTCGAACTGAACTGACTTGAGAATTACTTCTTCTGCTAAGCGTAATTCTTCGACTGAAGGGGGCCGGTGTTGGGCCTTGTGTTGAACTGCCTGTTAGGGCGTCTCTGTTCTATCATTCTCTGGATGCGCACAATGCTCCTCTTTAGGCGAATGAGGGAAGATGAATGGCGAAAGCGTTCTGGTTCTAGAATACTGTGAGAGCTCTCCTTCTCCTCGCTTTTGGTTTCTTCATGGCTTGAAATGCAGACGGTGGACTTAGGTTTCTTCACTTCAACGTCTTCGTGTTGTAGATCCGCAACTTGGTCTAGGCTGATCACCGGTACTTCGCTTTCCCATAGGAATTCAGGGCCATTGAACCATAGTTCGTGTTCAGAAAGCTCTTTGGTGGTGGCACCTCTTGACGCGATATCAGCTGGGTTGTTCGGACTGCTAACGTAATGCCACTGCTGTGGGTTTGATCTGTCGCGGATGTGTTGAACACGATTTCCGACGTACGTATGGAAGCGTCTCGCGTCATTTCGAATGTACCCTAGAACGACGGAAGAGTCCGTGTAAAACAATTTCACTGGGTTACTGTAGTTAAGCTCTTGGCTGAGCATGGAGGCTACGTTAGTAGCAACCACGGCGGCGGTCAGTTCAAGGCGTGGAATTGACATTGGCTTTAGTGGCGCGACCCTAGCTTTGCCCATCAGGAAGCTGACATGTACTTGGCCTGAACTGTTTACAAGACGTAGGTAGGTTACCTGGCCGAGGCCTGTGTTGCTGGCATCGGAGAAGCTGTGTAACTCCACGGCAACTGGTTCGCCGAAATCAGGTGGCTTGAGACACCTTGCTATCTTGATCGTCTCCACAAGAGGTAGTTCGGATCTCCATTTTCCCATTGTGAACGGATGTGGGCAGGAACTGGGTCGTCCCAGTCGATGCCTTCGCGGCACAGTTCTTGGAGCAACTGTTTTCCGACTAAGATGACAGGTGCAATGACACCAAGCGGATCATAAACTGAACTCACAGTTGATAGAATTCCGCGACGGGTGAGAGGCTTGTCCTTGAGCTCAATTCGAAATCCAATGGTATCAGACTGGATGCACCAATAGGTACCTAAGGATCGTTGGACAGGTAAGACATCGTGACGTAGATCGAGGTCCTTCAAGTCCTTGGAACGATCTTCAGCAGGTAAGGCTTCCAGCACAGTCTCACTGTTGCTGGCAAACTTGTGCAGGCGTAGGTTGACTGCTGCGCACATGGCTTGGGTATTCTTGATGACATTGATTGCTTTAGCTGGTGTGGCGAAAGATTTCAACCCGTCATCTACGTAGAAGTCGTTCTTCAAGAAGTCTGCGGCCTCATTGCCAAACTGTTCTCTGCCGGCTTCTGCTGTCATTCTGAGACCGAAATTAGCAACTCCTGGGGAGGAGACTGCCCCGAAAAGGTGGACGTTCATGCTGTACTCTACGATTTGACTCTCTAAGTTGTTATCCTTGAACCACAGAAATCGTAGAAAGTCTCTGTGTTCCGGGCTGACGTGAAAACTATGAAACATCTGTTCAATGTCGCATGTCACTGCTGTCTCTTCCTTTCGAAACCGCGAGAGCACACCAACGAGGGCATTCATCATGTCAGGGCCCTGTAGCAGATGTTTGTTGAGAGACTCGTTGTGGAAGATGGCACTGCAGTCGAAAACGATTCTAATTTGGTCAGGTTTCTTGGGGTGATAAATGTCAAAATGAGGCAAGTACCACACCTTTCCTGTGGCAGTCTTGAGTTGATCTGATGGGACGAGACTGGCGTGGTTCTTGTTAAACATTTTCTGCATGAACTCAGTATATTGCTTCAAAACCTTGCCATTCTTGAGAAGTTTTCTTTTTATGCCTAGTAGCCTGTTTAGGCATTGTTCTCGGTTGTTCGGCAGACTCAACTTGTCTGTCCTCAGTGGTAGCGGCATTTCCCAATTGCCCAGTTCATTTGTATGGATGCTTGTGGTAAGAAGATCATTGAAACGTCTGTCCTCGACAGACTCGGTGTTCTCAGTGCCTCGGATGGTTCGGCTATGATGTAGTTCACTGTAATCCAATTGCATCATTTCTCTTATCTGCTGGGGCGTAGTGACATCCTTAGATTGATGTTTGGAAGCGAAAGAGGCTACGGCCTCTTCTCTGGAACTGTTGCTCGTTGGAACATTGAAGAGGTTGTGAGAATCTTCTCGTCGTACGGTGATGCGGTTAACTGTTGCACAAGCCGTACTGTCTTGTTGGTTGTCTAGACAAACTGGACCGATGATCGTCCAGCCGAACTTGTACTCTTCAGCCCACGGCTCATTGTCTTTGCCGTATATAACGTGTAATGGCTGAAAGGCAGATGGGATGTTACGACCGATTAACAATCCTATCTCTACTCCGGGATGATAGTGGATGTGGTGGGCGATCTCCTTAAGGTGCGGCCAGAGTTGGGCAATGTTAGGCGTGGCGATGTCCTGATGGCTAGCTGGAATTTTCTCTTGTGAGTATGCAAACGGAATCCTAATAGAATTGTGTCGACTGTCTGTGTCCTTGATGTGCAATCCGTTTACTTTCTGAGTACGCACAGTGTTCACGCCCGCAATCGTACTGATATTGAGGTTAACTTCCTGGCCTTTGACCTGCAACTGGTCGAGAAGAGTGTCTGTGATGAAGACATCTGTTGACTGGTCATCCAGAACTGCATAGGTCAGCATCCTTGCTGAAGGGTTGTCTTGATGGAAGACTTCGACGAGAACTATTCTAGCGCATGAACGAGCAGAATGCCCTTGATTGCAGACTCGTGAGCAAGCAGACCTCGCTTCACTGGCATTAATCACTTTGTGCCTGGATGGGTCATGCAGTACAGTGGCATGTTTCTGTCGACATATCTTGCAATCTAGCCTGTCTTGTTCGCAGTCTCTGGCAACATGTTTGTTGGAATTAACACACTTGAGACAGACTTTGTTTTTCATTAGGAAATCTCTGCGTTCTTCGTATCCTAATTTCTGAAACTGTTCGCAATCGTTCATGCTATGAGACTTCATCTTGTGATAGAAGCAATACGTGTTAGCCGCAGTAGCTTTGGTAGTGTCCGGTTGCTGAGCATGGGTTGAAAGCACATTGGAGATTTCTATTGGTTCTTCGTGATTAGCATTTGTCTCGCCATTGTTACTGGGGGTGAAGTGGAGGTCAGATTAACAGCTGGAGGACGCAGGCGGGGTTGGCGGTTCAAAGGTTTGAAACGGTCTGTCTGTGGTGTACCACTTGAACCTGAAGCTTGAACAATTTGAGGTATGTTGACACGCTCAGCGTGGTAACGCACTTCTTGAGCGAAGTCTGCAAATGAAGGGAATGTGTCCTTGCCTTCTTTCTTCTGAAGTTTCAGCACTTTATCAGACCATTTGGGCTTGAACCACGATGGCAGCTTTTCGACAAGACTTTGAATCTGTGACGGGTAATTAAGGACTTGGAGACTCAAAATGTGTTCGCTTGCAATCTTCACCTGTTGAAGGAAGTCACTGAATTCTTCTAAGGCTGCTGCATCGTTCGGTCCCACCTTTGGCCAGGTTGTTAATTTCTTCTGAAAACTGGTACTGATTATTGCTGGGTGGCCAAAACGTTCCTTGAGGATTGTGCGGGCTTGTTGATACGCACTTTCAGGGTTCTGCACTAAGTACTGAAGCTGCTCTACCACTTTTTGGCTTTGCCATCCAAATATTGGTACAAGAAGTGTAGTTTCTGTTGGGCTGTCACTGGTGCTGAATCAATCAGACTATCAAAAGAATTCTCCCACAGGAAGAATTTAGTCTTGTCAGTCTCATCACCCTTAAAAACATCTGGCGTGGCTTGAGGGAGGCGTTGTAGCTGACTGATCTTGGCTAGGGTGTCAGTTAGTTGCACTGAATAATCTTGGGGTGCAGGGGAGTAGGCTGTATATGACGATGGTACAAACGCTGGAAAATTTCCGCAAAAACCTCTTGGAGGTGTGAGTCCAATTTGGGACATAGTACACGCAGGCGATGTGTAAACTGGAGGAGCTTGTCCTCTTAAGCTGAAGGTGGTTGCAGTGGTAGAGTGTGAGATTCGATTGGTTGATCCTTGAGGGCCTTGATTCAAAGATACAGATACAACGTCAAGTGGTGTGGACGATGACGCCACTGTCACTTTAGTCACTGGTGTTCTAGTGTCAAAGAGCGTTGTAGCAGGCGCACCCGGTGTAGACGATATTCGCCAGCATTATTGCTGGCAATAAAGGTGGAAATTGGATCATAGGTTTCTGTCGGCAGTGCAGGCGACTGCAGACAGTTTTCTTCTTGCATTGCTTTTTGGTAGACTTGCTCTTGTGCAGTGACTTCTCCAAGTTCTTTTTGTATTTTCAACTGTTCCAGTTTCTGTTTTTGTTCGGCAATAACTGCTGAAAACTTCAACGTTTCTTCTAGGGCTGCTCTCTTAGCTCGAAATTCAAGCAGGGTCTCCTTGCAAGAACTTCTACTTGATCCCGACCCTTTCGAGACTCGTGAACGGTGGGACCTTTGAGATGTGATAGAGGCTGCATCATTTTGTAATTTGTCAATTTCTTTCACGGCTGTATCATGAACTGCTTTCCATGTGTCAAGCAGATAAGCTTGTTTACTTGTGGCCTGATGAGTTTCATCCGAATCATCTGATAGCTCTATCCATTGGTCAAAACTTTGTAAGACAATGTCTAACTCCTTGATCAAAGCTGAAATATCTTCCTTAATTTCCTTAGGATCTTTGCCTGAGAGGATTTGCTCTTTAAAAGTGTCTAATTTAGAGCGAAACTGACGGTCGTTATCTATCGCAGCGCTTCTCTTCAAGCCACATTTGTATTCCCGCCCTTTGGCCGTGAGGGTCCTGGGCCTAGTGTTACTCGAATCGACAATAATGTCGGCATTTGTAATCGATGAAATTTCCTCTATTTTTGGACGTAAAGACACATTATCCGGTAAAATAACAGATGAGCTAACCTCAGTCTTTGTTGAGTCGACGATTTCTTCGTGAGCTGGGCTTGAGGTGTGTTTTTTTTGCTCTTCTCGATGAGAAATTCCTCTGGTCTCGACACGAAGGTTAGCCCGAGTCCGGTATCCTCGTGTTTATCATCGAATTTTGCTGAATCCATGGTAAAGTTCCTCGGCGTAAATACAATTCGTTGGAGTTCCTCAGATTAAACAGGAGTCTTCAAAGTTCCTTGAGGTAAATACGAGTCTTTGACTGTAGCGACCGCTTTTGGGTGAAGGCGGCGCGAGGGGGCAACATGCGTTGCAGAAATTCTGAAAGGTTCACTCCACAATGACCAAAACGTCTAACAAGATCCTTAGTTCCGTTTAATGCTGGTTCACAAGATGTTAACGGACCGAAGGGACCGTCAAAGACTGTAATGGCTATTACAACATGCTTCGTGCGAAGCCTAAAGAACTGCGTTGGGCGACGTTGCCAAAAACACTCCGCTCTCTAGTCGAGCTTACAAAAAACTGAAAACCCGGATGCGCGTGACCGGGTCACGTGTTAAACAAAACAACTGGGAAGGCGTTACAGCAGGTCATTCATCATATTGAACAGTGTTGAAAGAAAACTATTAGAGATGAGCTCTGCTTTTTCAAACTCAATATTCAACAATTTGTAACTTGTTTAAACGACAAGGAATAAAATACATATAATTGCCAGCTTGAAGTGATGAAGATAATTTACTAAGTCTTGTAACATTTTGTTCAAGATGTCACCCAATACCTCGAAAAATACTACACCACTCATCTGATTATTTGTAGAAACATACATTATTCTATTTAGTATTAAACTGTAAATAGGTCAAATAAAACAGGGCTTAAAAAGTCCTGTCAATTTTAGCTTGTCCCTTCAGACAATGGAGCCCTCAAATTTTGTTTGCCCAAGGCAGTTGCATGCTTGAGTTACGTTTGCTTTAATTATGTAAGGATGACTTGCCTATGCCGTTGCTAAATATATGAAATGCTACTTGTGCAGTCGGTAAATCTACCTGTCCCAGACAACTGGACGGGATTTTTTTTTTGCCCTCAGGGTGGAAAGAAAGTCAGTTTTACACCTCGCCATTAGGGCAAGCTGTGGCTAGTATAAATTTTAGTAGCCCAAAATTCTTTTCAACTAGCCCCAAAAACTTTTTGATAAGCAGGATTCGGGCAAGCTGTGGCTAGTATAAATTTTACTAGCCCAAAATTCATTTCAACTAGCCCCAAAAACTTTTTGATAAGCAGGATTAATTACACAGTTCTGTAATTTGAACTCCTCAAAAAAACTTCACTTCCCCATCAGGCAAGTTAAGAACAGAATTCACAGCCCGATAGCAAAATTCACTAGTCCCGGGCTATCGGACAATACTTTCTTTGCACACTGAACCTTGATGAAAACAATTCCATCTATAAATAAATTTTGTCAACAACAAAGGGAGAAGCCATCACACCCTCTTACAAAGGTTCTGTAAGGGAGACTACCTTGCAAAAGCTCATAGAATTTCTCTGGTCTCACCCTCAAAGCTACATACACTTTGTTCATAAACACTGTTTTTTATGTGTTTTGAGTCAGTGGGAAAATAAATGATTACATTGATTGACCTTTTCCTTAAAAATAGCAGTAAATATTTTTACAGCATTATTTGCAATATTAGCGCTTTCATCTGTTTCCAGGGTGCTTCATCATGGATTTAAAAATTTAATAATTTAGTTGCAAGCAAGAGGCCATTAGCAAAGCATATCTAATGAAACAACATAGCATGCCAAGGGGTGGACATCATAATGTGATTTATGAATAAGGATGACAAGTTAAAGAGCGTAACACATTTACATACTTAACAAATCATTAGCTATTGCGTGGTGAAGAAAGAAATAGCCTAAGGGTTTCAAGGCAGCGAGAGTTTTTTCTAGTAACGTTGAGAGTATGCAACTTAAAAATCATTGGCACCATCACTTTGAAAGGCAAGAATACTTAGAACCTGTATTTAATTTTTTTAATAATACATGACTGGGTATTATTTGAGAATATGTAAACAATGTGACTATAAAAGGACAGTAAGACAGAGCATGAGATGTGTTTAGGCATCTGATGATATGAGGTTCTGCATGGGTCATTTAATACTACATTGATAATGAATTGACTACTATTATGACATTTTCATAATGAAAGTAAATTTTAAAAAAATGATATAAAAAAGTGCTGCACAGATACTTCTTATCGACAATGGAATCTATAATATAATTAGACCTAAGCAAGAAATGTTTACTCGCCATAATCATAAAAAATTAAAAATGTTTTCTGTACACATATCGAAACCATAACAGCTGTCCTTTATGGGAGCTGAAAATAACCTGCGATTTTTTTGTTGAGATAAATAGAGTAATTCTGGTTGTAATAACACAAATTCATTACATTCAGTTACGAGGCGGGGAGAATTGTGAATAATTAAAACGTGCAGTTAGGAAATACGACGCAGAGCAAATAAAAAATATTTCTGCAATTGCATTTTAGGCTCAAGAAACATACTCAATAAAACAGTTGGATAGCTTGTCCACTCAATTACGTTAAGTGAGGCTACCTGTCAAACTAATATTGGAAGAAATACACGAATAACATTTCTGAGAAAACAGAATACAACAAAAGCGTTATTGGCATAATTAATCTGTTATCAAGGTTGCTAATTTTCGGTGATATTTCATTTACAGAAAGGGCCAATGGCTTTCAAAGCACTTTGATTTTTCTAGTCGCACGGGAACAAACGAATACTTTGGAGCCCCAGTTTTCGGCGTTAAGGCATACGGCAAGTATAACAACACCAAAACCATTCTATCTGAAAGATAAATCACTAATCAAAATGGGAAGTAGAAGGGACAACTGTAAATATAACTCACTGCGTTGGTCGACAGCGCTGGCTGTAGCTAAGACAAACAGTATCTAGTAGGTCAGCTAAAATGCCCAAAGAACAAAACTTCGCGATCATTCACAGTTTGGTTCCGAAGAAAATCATGCGTCATGAGCTAACAGGAAACGGAAGAAGTGGGTTTTAGCAAATGTAGATCAATATTTTCAAGTGACGAATTCTCAAGCATGAATGACCTTCATGCGCTTGTCAATGTTGTCACGAACCGACCCGTTCGGTTTCCCATGATGAAATATTTTACCAAGCACGAAGACGTCAAGCCCGATTTTAAATCAGCTAAATTTCTCACAATCCAGATACGAAAGTAATAAGTACTCTAAAATTTTATTGATTCCGGTTTTGAAGTTGTTCGGAGAATTTTCTCCCGTATGCACGTCTTTTCGGTAGGAAATGACGAAATTTGATCGGAAAAGGAAGGCCAGAGTCAACACCAAAAACAAGAACATTTTCTTGAAAAAAACAAAAAATTTAGACAACATCGCTATGGTTTGCAGAAAACTACTTAAGGTTCTTAATATTGCTGAAGTTCCTTGTATAAAACTCCGGGGCCTATTCGATTTGTTAGCAGTCCGAAATTATACGACCATTAGTTCGACCACTGTAGGCACTTCACTCACTCACCTTGACCGCAAAAATTGGGCTCCCATGAATCAGCAATACACTCTTGGTCACCCACAAATCTTCTTAAATGACCTATGAGGCTTCTTGAACTGAACTTTCTAAGAGTAAGAACAACTAATCTTGAGAAAATTCCGGAACTCAACTTTGTACACTTCCATCGACGTCAAATCATTCTGATTGTTGTCACTAGTAAAAATTACTCGTTCCCGATCCCCGGCCCGGTTCGATCCTGGACCCCAAACAGAGATCTCTCTTCTGATTGGCCCGTTGATGGTAATGAGTTGTCATTGGTCATTTGCAAGACAATAACCACATATTTAAAAGCGGCAAGTTTGATCCTTTGTTCCAAACAAAACAAAACTGTTATGAGACTCGTGAAATTTTAATTAAGATTTCAGAATTAACATAATGAGGCTTTTGAGAGAGGTGTTAAGACTTCTTTTTTTTGACTTGCACAACGCATACATTCCCAAGGGACAAATAACAATTTTGTCAAGTCTTGAGTGTAAGTGTACACACTTTGTGATGTTGTACAAGTAGTTTTAAGTGTTGGGGTATGAATGAGAATGATAAGGCGGACACAAGTGCTCAGTTTAATTTCTGCATCATAATAACATCCCGGATTTTTCTGCCCAACCATTCTTAAAACAAAAAATCACAATCTCTTCATCTCAAAGTTTCTGTTCACTGTGGAGAAGTTAAATTTTGACATACTTAATAGTGACATTCAAGAAATAATGGAATGGAAAGGACTGGCTGTCAGTTGCCCACCCCAGACTTATTTCCTTTGTTGCAAGCGGAGAAATAGGAGACGTCTGTACGCAGGCAATTTCCAATTTTGGCAGTGCAATAATTTATTCTCCTTGACCAATCAAAGCTGTCTGGCCGGCTGTCTGACCCCTGTGACCGGGAAATTACCTTCAATTAATTAGATAGCGGATCTGTTTTTATTCAGTTGCAAGGGTGGAATAATAAACATCTCTTAGCCATCATTATTGATATTAACAGTCACAGTGTTTTGATTCCAGACAGTTCAAATGTAAGAATTGTTATAAGCTACTAGCCTGTGTACAATTTATCTCTTATTTCCCTTCTTGCACATGAAAAAGGGACATCAGTGTGCAACAAAGGAAAGAGGAGACGTCTGCATACACTAGCAGTTCCTTTTCAGGCACTTGAAACTGAGAAAGCTATCACAGAGACAGGGGCAGATCCAGGATTTTTTAATGGGGGGTGGATGATACTAATCAGCCACCAACCTATATGTTAATTTATCTTAAGTTGTCCTATGTTTGTCCCAAAACATAGCAATTTAGGAAGGATGAAGGCTGGTTCGCTTCACAAGGTTTTTGGGACCCACGTTTTGCTGAATGTTTTTCTACATATTTCTATTATAATTTTTTGGTGGGCTGTTCTAAAGGGGGCGTGGCTAGCCACCCAATCCATCCCCTGGATCTGCCCCTAAGAAAGGCAAGTGGTGGCGAACAGCAAGAGTACTGTTGCCTGTGTTTACCCACTGCATAAAAATAATATGCTTGGCTACGTAAAAAAACTTCACTTCAAAGAGAATGTCAAGACTTTGTAACACTCCTTTATTTATATATATACTTTTGACAGACTCCACTCCTCTCTCACACTGGCTTACAACAACTATTACTATACAACTGAAACTTGGACAGGCAGTGAGAAGACAAAATTAATGTCTTCTTTTTCATCCCAAGTGGCTGAATCATAAGTTATACACTATATGAATAATGGAAGATTTTACAAACATTTTTATTTTAAAGTTAGTCCCAATACTAAGGGTGTAATAACATTCCACTAATTAACTATCACTTTATTTGTAAAAGAGATGGCACATTGCAATTTTACAACAAGACACACTTCAAATTATTCAAACATTTCATCTCGCATTTAGTTGAATGTACCTGAAGATAATTAAATGAAGCATGCCCTGTTTCAAAAGTAAATGCGTTACCCTTATTCTGGCAATTGAAATTTACATGCCTTAAATATAACATCTATACAGCTTGACAGCTTTCCACCCAGGTGACCTTCAGAAAAAGGAACAAAGCAATTTCTTGACAACAGTGTCCAGCTTCTGACAGGAAGAGGCTACCTCTTCTACAAATGCAAAATGTCTCCAACACCTGAACAAAGCAAAGAAAAAAGGAGCTGTAGAACACTTCAGATACTATTTAATGGGGCTACAGTGTAAGTGATGCAGATATTGCTGTTGAACCCTTTAGTTCCCAAAAGCGACCAACATCAATTTTCTCCTAACAACATCAGCAGATCAACAAGAGTAAAGGTTATGAGAATTACTAAATTGATTACCAAAGGGAGAACACTTTGATCTTAAACCAAATTCTCTCAACTATTCATAAAAGAAATGTATGGAGATCAGTCTGGAGAATTTGTATGTGGATCTTGGGGATTAAAGGGTTAAGGTCAACTCCGTCATAACTTAGTACCATACACAAAATGCTCCTGAACAATTATGAAACAGATATAAAACATATTTCATAAGGGAGCAATAATCATGATATTATTTTGGTGATCTTTGCTGGCATGACATTAAAATGTGAAAAAGTTGGGCCTACAATCCATGTCCATCCTTTCCACTCGTAGCTTCCAACAACAGAAACAGTTTCAATGCCTAAAAATAGTCTAACAAAACTGGACCATTATTTTTTCAATTGATGCAAAGACACATTTTAGCTTTTCAAAAAGATAACAAATAGCATGACATAACCCCATTAAGTTTAAACAAAGAGAGTATGCTTAAAAGTCAACAGATAACCTGACCTCAATAGACATTTATCTGCAGCCATCAAGCATTTTTATAAAATACTGAGTTATGTTGCCTGCGAGCCAAATCAGCTCATAAAGCTACCAGCAGTTATCTTAATATTTCTGTCAATTCTCGAGATGCACTACACTAAAATAATGTCCTGTTATTAGTTATTATAATTTGTGTAATTCTGTCAGTATTGAGGAACATTGAACATTACAAACCTCAGGGCTTTGGGTTGTTAAGATGGCTTAGCTGTTGATATTGTCACATTGTTGGCTGTTGGATTTATCTGTAATGCTTTTTCAGGAGGTGCATGGAAAAAGTACACCTGGAAATCATTTGCAAACAAAGAGAGAAAGAAATGAACCGTCGTTAGCAGTCATTCCACTTTTAGAGTTAATAGGAAAGTCCAACCCTCCTCCCTCCCTTCCCTCCTCAAGAAGTGAGGGAGTCCCCAGAAAAATGAGTCGTAAACTTTAAACAATTCAAATGATAGTCGTATACCTTAAATCCTACTGCCAAAAGACCATGAAGAAGAAATATCAATGCTAGAAGAATACCTGCAACCTAAAATAAGGCAAAAAAAAAAAACAGTACATTAGGCGATAATTCAGTGGGGAGAGAGGAGGGATTCACCCTTATATTTTGAACAAACTGAGTGCAGAAAAAGTTTCCAGAGTGACCTCTCTGCCTTAAAAGTCTGGAACTGCCACTGCAGTTCCTCTCAGTTAATTTAGAATCAGCTGACTGATTCAGCTCGCCCAGTGAAACAATGTATCTCAAAAAGGAACCATTGGAAACAGCTCTCCTATATTAGCTACTTAGTCTCATTTCAAAACAAGACCAATCCAATCACTGCTAAGATGCATTTGTAAACAGTCAGGCAAAATGGTGTACTCCTAACCACGTAAGGCTTTTGTTTACAGCTAAAAGAAGAGAGTGTACCCATAAAATGGATCACAGAACTTTACAATACAACAAAGTGAACTTACACTGGGACAGACTTACATGTACTCAGCCTACCCCCCTTGGGTGTTCTGTTCCACTAACACAGTAACTGTCTAATCATATTAATTTTCAAGGGGAACTTTACCTTCTTGTCATCATCTTCCACTGCAGGCCAAAATGTTAACAGCAACACAGTACCTAAAATAAGTTTTATTTTTAATAGGTTTTGATAGAAATTTTCAGAGAGAAAAAAAATAAATTCAATAACATTTTTTCTTATAAAGTATTATTGCATGCTGTTTTAAAGAATTAGAAACAGAGAAAAAAATCAACAAAATAATAATATTATTAGACTAGGGGAAAATAATGAACTAAAAATGCATCTTGATACATGATACGTTAAAAAATACATGAAAGCTAAAGTTGTTTATCACAAAATTGTTCATATGATACATGTATTGTTCACCTGAAAGAGCCATTCCTAACATAACGAGAAGCCATCTTAACCACTCCAGAGGAACAACCCAAAGAACCTTGGAGAAAAAGCCAAGCATCATCAGCAATATGGTTAGAGGAATGAATATACTTTTCCTGTGTACATTGCAATTATCTTGGGTATGATGATTGACACTGATCTAAGTGACAGACTAACATGGGGACATATGCTCTTCTCACTGAAGTTTGCAGTCACTAAACAAAGAGTGTTCCAAACAAAGTGACAACATTACTCACCCTCCCAACCCTTTACAGAAACTTGTTTTGAATCTGTGCATGTTTTATTAGGCTAATACACTTATCCCCAGCCCCCACTCAGGAGTGCAGCACTAACTGTTATTTTGTCTATCTATTTTCTGCCTTCAGAATTAAATCAAGCAATGGAGGCAAATAGGGAAAGCACTTTACACTGTAGAAAAGTAGTAAAACTTACTGATATGGGAATATATATGAACAGGGAATAGCCATACACACAGAGGATTTCCAAGAATGAATATCCTGCATTACTCTTTCTCCACAGAAGGACTCCCCAGAGAGCTGTAGGCACCAGGAAGGCATATGAGAAGATCGCAACTGCAGCAAATGTTACTGCAAAGAAAGTATATGAAAATACAATTCAAATTATGATAAAATTTAAACTAGTTATGAATGGCAGAGGATGCTTGGAATACATGCACATGTAAGGCTTTGTTGGATTGGATGAAGTTGTCCAGAGCAACTGGATCTGTTCAATAGGCCATTTGCACAAGGAAGTCACTTTACTGTACTAGTTACCACAATGAACAGGCCAGGTTTTGCTTTGTTGTGCAAATATTCAAACCTAACTGATATAACCAAAATTCAAAGACAATGTGTCAAAGGAAGAACAAAATGGATGATAGTAGTAGAGGAAGAAGTTGTAAAGTGGGACCAACAGGCAAATGGTTCCTTGGGCCCTAAGACAAACAGATATGACATAATAACGGATAGTAACAGATTTGATATGAGCAAAAAAAATGGAACGTAGAAGACCGGTAAAATTAAAGCTCAGTTCAAAGTTTCAAACTAAAGAAAACTTTCAACCACAACATTTTGTATACCTTTATGGAAATCATAGACCCACTCATGGTCTCCTGCACTGACAAGATAGCTTGCAAGATTACCAGTTATAGCTGTGGTAAACACTAAAGTTGCACACACCCAGAAAGGACCTGAAAAGGGTCACATTAATGGATCAATTTAGGTGTCTGGGAAACTACCCACCTACCCCTCCCCAAAGCCATCATTTTGCCCTAAGTGAGAAGTAAGTGTTAATGGTAGCTTAGGGGAGAGGTAGGTGGGCAGTTTCCTAGAAACCTAAATTCATCCGCATTAATAGCAAAAAACTTTCAATTACTGAAACATTTTAGATGCCATATTATTTCCTTCATACAGAGAGTGAAAGAAAATGACTAAAAAACAGCAGGGACCAAATCTAGGCACGACAGTTTGCAGCTTTTACAAGGCTTCTAGGATCGACTAAGCAAACAATAAACAAACAAAGGCATAAACAATGGACCCTAGCCCTAAAACAATAGAGCTACATGCTACAGAAGATGCAGAGAAAGATTTTACAGGTTCTAGAAAGCCATATACTACATAGGCATCCAATAGATTTCCTGTGTACAGAGTAGATGTAAAGTGTAGGGAGGAATTGGACAGCAATGACCATAACACTATAATTAATTGTATACTATAAGTAAAATTTATTTTCAGCGGGTAATGCTTACCATATAGATCAGGATTGGGACGAATAAAAGAAACTAGATAATTTTTGCTGTAAACAGGTACCATTGAGCCAATGATTCTCCTCAAAACCTGAAAAAAAAAAAATACCATGGCTGATTTGAAGTTACAGGCAAAACTTGCCTTGTGGACACCTCGCTATAACAGACACTCTGATAATACGAACAGCATACGAACAGCAGCCAAATCCCACGCAAAAATGGGTTACAGACATTTGACTGAATGTAACTCACACTATAACAGACTCTTGCTAATAAGGACACTATCTTGAGGTCCTCAAGGTTGTCCACTATAAAGGGAGTTGACTGTATAGGAAAAACAAAATTTTTTGGATTTATATAACTGAGAGATTTCTTGCATGCTCATGAGTCAGAGCAATGGTGTTTGAGAGAACAGACAACAGAAATGGCACAATGAAACTGCAACTCATGTTCCAGAAATGGATGTTTGAAACTTCACTTTGCATGAAAAACAAATGCACAATAATATTTTCAAAATTGCCTTTGCTCTCATGGATCTTAGAAATGAAAAGAAGCTGCTGTTGTCTTTTTGCTAAGATGATCATTTTAAGTGATAACAACATCAAGTTAAACCTTCCTTACTTGATAAGTATCGACGTCAAAGAATGTTTGATAATATTCAAATGTCCAGAATGGAGGCTGCTTTCTCTGTCCTGCTAAGAGCTGATGCAAAAACAACATGTTTTAACCTCAAGTTCTGTGATACATGTAGGGGAAGTGAGCTACAGATTCAATTTAATTCGTTTGTTAAATAAATTAATAAATCTAAGATCAGAAGCAAAATAGTTAAAACGTTTAATGTTCTCAGCAACATGCCAACACTGTCTACATTGTGTACTTCAAACAAGAAAGAGCTAGCCATTTCTCTCTTTCCACAAACAACATTGTGTCACTTTCAAGCTTCCTGAGGGAAGTAAAAAACAAGCCACTTTCAACTTTGGCTATGGAGAGGGGGAATTGAAGGGGCCCAAGTTGTTTTTCCCAAATAAAGACCATTTTGATGTCAATATCTCAAAAATTGTGCCACTGACTGTAGCATTTAAGAGTATGCAGGTATACACATAATAATGGAAGTCAGTTTCAATTCGACATACCTCTGTTTTGTCTTCTTCATCATCTACAAATGAACATTAAACCAAAAACAAATTGTTTAGTTAAACAAAAGGTGCAGTTGTAAAGTAGTTGATTTACAAAGAGTTCTTTCTAGAACTCAGGGACTAACACATTTTATCTCACTGCTAGCCTGCAAAACAGTCACTTTGTTCCTCAAAACCAGTTTTCCAAGCAATGCACCTGAACCTCACACATAGGGCACGAGAAGCTGAGTGAATAACACACAAAAAAACTGTTCTAACCAGTGGGTATAAGCTGTTGAGCTGTCAAAACTCTGTTGACAGCTCACATTTTGTTCTACCTCACTCCAACACTTTTGTTTGACCATTTCCACATTCTTGACCTACCCAAAAATACAGGCTGTTTTGCACCTATCTCATTGCTATATTAGCCAGGGGCATAGCCAGCCCATAGACCTGTGGGCCCAGGCCTACAAATTTTTTGGTTTGATCACTCTCCTGCTTGTAATAAATTATGCCTTGTTGGGGTGAGCTAAAAAGCTTAAGAGGTCAAAGTGTTGGTGAGGTCAGACTACAGTCATGTGTGCAATTTTCAGGATATGTGGAAATGAAAGTCAGCCAGGCTTACAATTGTCAAAAAGCTGGCTACGCTCCTGTTAGCAGTATCTAGCGATCAGGTTATGGAAAGATTAAAAAATTACTTATGCGACTAGTTTGTCACATTATACTTGCCATCTGAGAAGTCATCTAATGCTTGAGTTCTGATGTTGCTTGGAGCTGTAACTGTTGCAGGGTCCTCACCAATGTTACCCCCAGTGTTTAGGTTATTGGTATCATCAACTTTAGTGAAATCTAAGAGAAAAAATATATATAATGTCTACACAAATAGATTAAAGTAGTAACAAACTAATAAAACCTTTACAAGAATCTCCTTAAAAGAAGAGTGTTTATTTCAGTAAAATTAGTTTAATGTATCAGTGCTCGAAATTAAATAAATCCTCAGGTCATTTGGTGACCAACTGGAGAAGAAAATTTCTCCAGTTGGTTGCCAAATGACCTGAGGATTTTTTTAAATGCCAGATGCAAATTTTTAGTTGCCAGTTTGTAACGTAAATGACCCAGCTTATGGTATCGCACGTTCCATCAGATTTGATTTTTTGAAAATATCGCGGACAGAGGACAGTATAAATAGCTTTGTTTATGCGATTTGGCACATTTTGAATCACAAAAGCAAAGCAAGATAAGATGAAATCTTTGTTTTAACTTTACTCTATTACTCTAAATCTAAATCATAGAGAAATCTGGTTGCCAAAGTGGCAACTACACCAGAATTTTTAGTCGCCGAGGAGAAAATGTTAGTCGCATTGATGACTATATCAGCTGCAATTTCGAGCCCTGTAAATGGCATGTTCACAACAATCTTGCAAAAACTAGTCAAGTTGGCAGAAAGTCATCTTATTGGTCACCCAGAAGGGTTTCTTTTCTTAACAGGGGTCAGAGTTTGAGGGCCTCAGCTGCAGACCCCCACCCATACTTACCATATCCCCCCCTGCCCTCCCCAACAACCTCAAAGCTGGCCACTTGAAAGACTAAAACGAATAATATTTCTTGAAGCCTCTTGTTAAAATACTTGTATGGATGCACTAACAAACCTTGGAATTTCAAGTCTTCCAGTCCTTCAACATCTCCCTCCATCTAAAACAAGTACAACGTTAAAACCAAAAATCAAGATTTTCAAATGGGGCAGTGTAAAATGCAGACTGCAGACTGATATTGCCGACTATTGTTTTTAGGGTTAGAAAACAATGGGACTATTGTTCTCACGTTCTCATTTGCATGGTGAAAACAATAGTCGGCATGCATTGCAGTCTGCGTTGCACACTGACCGAGTTCAAATTTTTAAGTGGAAAATCATGCATGCAGTGAATATAATTTCATACTATTTCACACAAACAGTTAATATGAATAGAGTCGAAACATGTGAGCATAGCAAATTATGGGATATTACCAAATTAAGGCCTGGAAGTTTAACTTTTCATTTAAAGAGCTTTGATAAAGGCTTTGTTTTTGGACAAACTGTGGGATCAATTAGCCTGCAGTCTAATCTGCAATGTGCACTGCCAAACGTATGGAAACGAAAAGGATTACAAAAGAAAGAAACTGAATCTTCACCTGACTTTGAAAATTTCAAACTGTAACAGATCGCTGGAATTGCTTTGATTTAAATCATAAACCGTACCTTGACGTCGACAAGTCCACTTTCATCGTCGCTCTCCGCCATTTTG